AGCTGCGAGCTCACCATTTTTCCAGTCTTCTCTGGGCTGAAAATACCTTCATCCTCTTTTTCTACCTTCGTTTAGTGCTTGTGGTGCATGCCTGGTTTTTTCTCAATCGCGCTCGATTGTACCCGACTGGTAGCTGGGTTCATGTCTTTTTGTCACTGCATCACATGTCTCCGATCACAGAGTTCCCTACGAGTGCCCGATCGTCGCTTCCAAGTCCCAGGACAACAAGTGGATGGAACCTTCCCAGCAACACTAACAAGAGCAAAGCGCGTTACTATAAACCGCCCCCCCCCCCCCCCCCCCCCCCCCCCCTCCTCCTCCTCGTCTCTCTCTCTTTCTCTTCCCTCTTCCCCCTTCACCCAGCATTCAGTGTCACGATTAGAGTATATACCTCTACAGTTTGTTGTAGGCTCCCTTTTCAACATCCATCTCCGGCTGGAAACAATTTTGTATCTTTCAACCACAGCTCCAATTCCCTGTTTGTCGCCATCCGCACAAAAGTTGGCCGTCAAGAGTGTATACGTCCGGTTCCTCTTGGCCTCATTCTACTGCTCCTCCTCAATGTCTACTTAGGTTTGCTAGCAGCTGAATAAGAGAGGAGAGATATTGTGCGGACTTATCCTGACGGAGTGAGCATTCTGTACCACGTCCCGAGTAGATACAGTTGGTGCATCCAGCTCCGGCTGGAAACATATCGAATGCGGTCCCTTGCTGTGTAGCGACTGGCATTGCTGATAGTCCTGGGTCACAGGGACGGGTTTGCTGAACAACGAAGCAGCGAAAGTGTCGCGCGGTATATAGAGCACTAGTATGAGCCTCGCCGGCGAAGCGTTCGCTTTTGCCGTTTTTCGTACCAAAGTTATGAGCACCTGGAGATGACGCGGTGAGCGCGAGGAGCGCACGAGGTTCCTTCACCGTCATACAAGCGTCGGAGAGCTCCATCAGCTCGTCCTTAATGCCCTTGACTTTGATGAAACAGATTCTTCTCCTCCTCCTCATCATCGACGAAGTCCGTCGAGAAAGACCGCTTGCGACTTGGGGTGCCACCACCAACAAAGCTCTCGCCCAGCACAGCACAGAGAACAGCCGACTCATCCAGCCATCCTTCAGCCCATCAAAGATTTTGCGGATCAAACCGCGCGACAGAACGACGTTCTAACGGGCTGCTTGTCCAGCTTGAACGGCGCTGTATGACTTTAGGCATTGCGGAATGCGAATCGAACTGGGGATCTGCAGAGAGTGTGGAATGTGCCTCATGTGACTACCGTTTGACTGCTTCACTTTGGAACATACTACCTAGCGGGGGGTGAAAGTGGGAATGGGGATCTCAATTACATGGTACAGTCCTCTCGAGCTTCAGCCCTCTAGCGTCAACAACACCAGCACCTAATCGAGCCACTATGGTCGTACATCGCACTACAAATTCACCTTGTGCCACCCACGTAGCTGGCCCGGCATGACGCATCTTACAACAAGGGCAACCCGGAACACGTACAGGTTGGCTGAACCCGGCGAGCCTAGAGCGGATCGGCGACCCCCGGCCGGGCCGGGTGGGGTCAAGCCGGATCGGACCCGCAATGGTCCCACTGCAAGTCCGAGCTGCTCCGGACACTAATGTAAGACAAAAGAGGTGGATCTGGGGAAGTGGGCCGATGATCAAGAATAACGTTGGACAGGGGGCTAACGTCAGGTTTATCTTGGGGTTGCTATGGCACAGGACAGGGGAACAACAAGAAACAACACGAAACAAAGGAGAACTAAAAAAGAGAAAATGGTTTCTTTGATCTCGAGTGTAACATCGGACTTCAAGTCCGAGGGCGTGCTACCGGCCCGGGAGCCTGGGTTTGTGGCTGTCGACAATCTGGGAAGATGGTGTGTCATTGCCGGGGGGCGTGGTGTGGCGCGGGACGGGCGTTACCCACGCGGGCCACGCCGCAGTAGCTCGACATGTGTGCATATTCATAATAGTTGTACAAAGTACAGGTTTCCATAATTGGGTACTATTCAGTACCAACTGCATACGTTCCTTTCATATTATGAGAGCGATAGTGGTGCACAACACATCTTAGGCTTGAACGGCGATTTAGACGATTGATGCTGGCGTTACGAGGCATGCCGGGACGCCGTCCAGACAGACAGGCAGACGGCCATGTCCACTAACTCAAGTCTCAACTGTTGCATATACTACTGGTAGCTTGAGTTGTTGCAGCCAGAGATCAGTAGATTGGTACAATACACGGTAGGCTACAGAGACCCAGACACGCATCAAGCAGAATGGTATCAAAATGCCGCATCGCCAAGAAAATACAAAGCCACCCGCCTCATCCGTCTATTTGTCTACAATGTTTCATGGTATCCAACTTCGCCCTAACCCATTGACCGACCCCCACAAACACCACTGCACTCCCTTCAAGCAGGGACCGCCCCGCTGGCAGCGACGGCAGCTGCTGCGGATCCCAGCGCGGAAATCATCAAGATGTTCGGCTGGCCGGGCGTGTTCTGCGGGAAGCGGGAGTTGAAGCCGATGACATTGGCGGCACGGACAAAGGTGGCGGGCGAGACGCTGAGCTTGGCGGTCGACACATGCCAGGCGACGCCCTCGCTGCACGGCGGCGTGGTGAGCGAACCCGAGTACGTCTGCAGAGCGTTGGCTTTGATGACGTCCACAACCTCTGACATGACGAGCGGCGGCGTCTTGACTTTTGTGCCGGGCGTCGAGATCTGGTCGACCACGCTAAAGATTGTCTCGAGCACATTGGTCGGCGCGGTCGCGGCAGGCGGGGCGGCTGCCTGTCGGCGGAAGAAGCGGCTGTTGTGGTTCAGGTCACGCTTGGCGGCCGGAGCCGTGCCGTTCGCGACGGCCCCGCCGTCGGCAACGTTGATGTACATGCCAATGACGGCGATTTCCTGCTCGGCAGACTGCCACACCATGTGCATTTCCACTAAGAAGGTTAACAATGTTAGTTCGGGTCCCGCTTGAGATAGCGAGATGGGGGAAGCTGGACGCACTGGCTTGGCTGGTGCCGTTGTCGAGATGCTCGCTAGGGAGGTGGAAGTGGAACTGCTGGAGCTCGAATTGCTTGCCGCCGGAAACCAGCGTGCCTCCTTGTGTGATGACCTCGACAGTGGTACCCAGGTTCTCGAACTCGGCACCCTCGGGCATGTCGTTGACCTGTACTTGGATATCGGAGCCCTCGACTAGCTGAAACACGCCCTCAGTCATGTCGATGGGCGACTGCCTTGTGCCGGTTGCGCACGCGCTGTTGGCTGGCGACTCGAGCGCTGCCCAGTTCAGAGGACCCTGAGAATCTGTGTCAGCCTAGTCCAACTCTGTTTTCCGGGCACTTATTCGAGAAGTCGTACAATGTTACCGATATACCCGAAGTTCGACACCGGGACCTCCTCCCCCTCGGTAGCCCGGGGTTGCAAGAATGTTCCATAGGCACATGATGCGAAGACCCGCGTCGCCGTGGCCGTGATGAGCAGGCTTTGGAGTAGTAGACCCATGTTTATAAGAGGCGCAAAGAGAAAGAACAAAGAATGTCAATATAAATGAGAAAAACAAGAGGAAACAATTATACAAAAAGAGGGTCCCAGACCTTCGAACCGAGCCGAGAAAAGAATGTTATACAAAACGGAAAGGAATCGTACGAGCCACGACCAGCACAGCCGGGAGATGGACGATCTTTTGTATGCCTTGCCCGGGACCGGTGTTCTTGGTCTAGATCTTTTGCTCGGATTGCTCCTAACCACCCCGTGTCTGGAGCTTGGCCGGGGCTGTGGGCCCAGTCACCGCCATGGTAAGCATGACTGGGATAACCACATAAGAGAGGCTTAGAGCAGAACCATAAACCGGGCTTGAGGTATCAACTGCCGCCGCGCGTCAGAAGCATCGAAGAGCCTCAAGAGCGTTTTGCCAAGCACAAAGTCGTACGATGTACGGAGGTACAGACCGTTCCATCAGGTTGTGGAAAGGGGTTGGTTGCAACAGATCGAAGTGCGACGCCAAGGGAAATGCGAATCTTGGCATCTTGGCTTTTCGGGCCAAAAACAGTGACCAGGCGTCGGGAGCGGGAGTGCGAGTGGGACCAAAAACAGCGACCAGGCCTCAGGAGAGGTACAAAGTAAGAATTTGGGCTGGCTTGTTTAGACGGGAAATCCTCGTCAACGACTGTCGACCGCTGCAACGATTATGGCCAAAGAGTGGTCGAGATCCTGATACGAACACCGCATGTCAGTTTATGAATTAAGCTTCCTTGGCTAGCGCAAGCCAACGGGTAGTGACAGCAAACCTGACTCGCGGGATCCGCCGCTGACTTGTCAGTGTCGACTTGCGCCAAGACCGAAAGGCTCAGGGTGGGCTAGTTGTTTCGAAGCTTTCTCCTACCTAACGTTATGTAATTACCTCCAAACAGTGCTATAAATCACGAAAATATTAGAACTGTCGGGGGGAAGCCAACTGTTGTCTCAAATCGGATTTTTCCTGGCAGATGAACGTGGGATCCATGGGTAGATCTTTGTGGCATTCGCCAGGTTGCACATACAAAGACGGGAGGACCCCCAACCCCGACGAAGGTCCTGAAACCAACTCCTGTCGCCCCCGAGCACAGCCCAATTGCATTGATTCGCCTCCCACTTCACGAATCGTTTAGTTAACGCCAGCAAGCGGATGCAAAGGTGCCATCACTAGTGCACTCGCTTGGCATTCTGTAACCATTTCGGCAGGCGATGCATGTTTGATGGAGTTCCAGTTGGGATGGGAAGAAGTGCAGTTTTAGGGGTAGGTACTGTACGGGAGCATGTTGTCAATTGAGGGGTCGCTGCGGTTGCAAGACCCCGGACCTGCGCGCACCTGCACCAGTGCATGCGGGCGCCTGTCTTAGCTTTACGGACAGGAAGTTGGAAGCGACTTCAATCGACGTTAGACGGGAAGGTCAAGTCGAGTCGAGGATATCACAACCCACTGCACCAGGCCGAACATCAGAGCCAATGAAGCATGGCTCACGGCGCCTGATTTCCTAAACCGCCCAAGTGGTCGAACCCAAGTGTTTGTTTGGTTTGCCATCACATTATCACAACAACCGGGCCGATAGATGTACTGCAATCCCATTTGTGACTGAAAGTTTTTTGAGGTGTTGGCAAGTTGGCAATTGCAAATCCATGCCAATAGAGCCTAGCTGCTGTGATGGCCGGATGAGGCTTTTGGGGTGCATGTGACCGCCAAGTTGGGCTGCGCCAAGTGTGCCTTGTCGGCCCCCTGGAATTGAGGTGTTTGTTGTCAACTTGTCGGTGTCGGCGGAGACTTCCATCGTCAACATCATCTCTCTCTGACGGGGACTGAGCATGTCCGACAGTCCGCCGTTCATATTGCATAGCCACGAGCTAGCCCACCATCAGAATGTAAGACAGAAACTCGGGGACCTCGGGGTAGATATGTACATACTAATGAGATGCGCCAGGCCAGGCGATGGTCAAACCAGCGGTGATGAGCTGCCCCATGACCCATACTTAAAAATTGACCGCATAACATACTTCTATCCCGATCGCCGGGGGCCACTGAGCTTGGGTTTGCGTATTATCCTATTATCCTCGGTGAGGATGATTTCAGGCAGCGCAAGGATTCGGGGATTGATTGCGTGTCCCGCCTTCCCGAGCGCGCTGTTGCAATGATCTACGGTTTGATGCTCATCAGCTTGGCGGTAGGTTGATCACCTAGGCAGGTACCTTATGCACCCAAGGACCAAAGGTAATTGCACCAATTATAACGGCACGAGACAAACTGCCAAACTGGGCGGAATGGAAGTTCTACGAAGACTTTGTCGAATCGTGAAGCGTGGTTGGTCCCAAAAAATCGTGGACTGTGCCAGGAATCGAGCATCAGCAAAGCAGCCAGTACGATGCGTCAACATACTGAGGATGTACGGAATAAGTACGGAGTAGAGAGATTCGATCTTCATCGGTGGCCACTTCTTTATCCTCCCAATCTCTGATCGCTTCTTCCAAGAGATGTTGGACTTGCCTCTCACTCCTCCCCAACCCTGCACAGGGCTTAACAAGAGTGTTAAGAGGGGTAGTCGAGAGGATGATTTTTGGGTGCGAAAAATTGGCTGCACTAACAGAGCCGCCTGCTCACTTCAGGCCTGCTTCAAGTCCGTACGAAGTTCAGAACGTCGTAACCTCAGCTTTTTTCCAAGCGAATAACATGCCAGGGGATTAATACACATGAATGAACTCAGTAACTCACTTTCCGTCAGCTTGCTTATTCCAAGTTGGCAACGCAGGGCTCATTGAGACAAGAAACTTCAAACTTCTGGGGAAAAAAGAGCTCGTCGACTCTCTCGAGTCGCTCAAGTTGCATTCTGCTCTTACACTGCTACCAATATCCATGGCCGTTTTGAGTGCGAACCGCAGCATCTTTTTGCATCTAGCAGGCTCCGGGTCATAAGGTGAAGAAGCATGGTATATAGTGTTTGCAACTTTGTGGGATGAGATGAGTGGAATAGTGGATGCAGATCGTGGATTGCTCTCTAACCTTAGCAAGTTAGCAGGCGTCATCTGAACAAAAGCACATTATACATGCATCTTACCTGATTGTTTACTTTAGTTCTCCCAGAATGTTAATCGCATCAGCCTCTAGGTTCCGGTCATCCCGATTCCCTGCTGTCGCCGCGTCATCGCCTACATGCGTGGGGATACCTGGCTGGAGTCAGGCGGAGTTCGACAATGGCATCGGCAGTCCGAGTCGGCAAGACATACAATACATACAATCCCATCTTCTGGCCCGGCTCGCTCAATTACAGGCCTTAGCCTTCGTGTTTCGATTTATCACGGCAAATCTACCCGGCGGAGCGGCATACTGCCATGCAGTGCCAGGATCTTCGGATAGGAGGGGGCGGGGCCAGTACTACCTTTCTCCTCGGTAAGGTCGTTGTCCGAGTTTGGTACCTGAGAGTGATTACCAAGTTATAAGTTAACCTAGGTAGCTTGCAGTGGTATGCGGTGGTTCAGCCCCGTTGTTGAGCGTCCTTCTGTAACGAGTGCTCGTGTCGCATCTTAAGACCGGCAGCATGCAATTATCTCTCGGCGTTCTGCTGTCGGCTGCTTGTGCAGTCACTGGCGCCAGCCTCTGGGTTCCTACCACACCGCAGGCACCACGACCGTATGCCCTAAAAAAAGGAGACGGGCTCAAGCTTGACGGAGGCAGTGTCTTTCCCGTTACAGGCAACTCATCCGGAAAGGCCTTCTGCATCCTCAACACCAACGCAGGCTCATCCGGTGGCACCACTGTCTTCCCACATGTGCACAAGCGAACCTACGAGAACTTCTACACGGTGAAGGGTCGGGTGCAGCTGTGGGGCCAGAACTTGGATTCCTACCTCAAGAACACATCTGTCCAGCAGACACGGATTCTCGGCCCCGGGGATATTGGCGCCATCCCGTACAATACCGTCCACACTTTCACCCTGCTGGAGCCCGACACACTGCTCACGGGGGTCCTGGTGCCCGGGGGGTTTGAGGAGTTCTTTTTCAACACCAACCTATCTCCAAACCCGGTTGCGTCGTCCACCGACTCCGAGACCCCCGATATGGCCGAGCTTGCGGAGTGGGATGTGTACCCGCAGCTCGATTTCGTTCCCCGCCAGGATGTCGTCAACGGTCGCGCAGGGCCGGGAAACTGGTACGACGGCGCAAACACGCTCCCATCAAACATGTCGGCACCCATCTGGGTGGCCAAGAATTACGGTCCCAAATTCCTCAACTCGGAAAACGGCCGGTACCAAATCATCAACCCGTTGGTCACGGGGCAGCAGACAAACAATACCTTCTCCCAGGGCACCATCACCCTGAGTCCGTTTACAAACGGCTCTAGTGGGAAGGCTCCGGTTATCATGAGCTCTGTGGCGACGGCGCTCACCGTGGAGGAAGGACAGCTCGAGGTTACGGTGCAGGGATACGACCCAGTCGAGTTGATCAACGGTGATTTAGTGTTTGTGCCGGCCAAGACGCCCTTCTCGTATGCCGCCAAAGCCGATTTCACCAAGTTCATGTATGTCACAGGCGGAGGTCAAGGCCTGGACTACCAGTTGATGGCAAAGGCCGGGGCGTGGGATTCGGCTTTCTATCCTGAAGAGAAACCGTCCAGTGGAAGGATGTTCAGGATTTGAGCCGACTACAAGGCATCTCTTAGGCTTATTAGTGCAGAGAGAAAATGAGAGACTCTGGAAGTATTACCTAGATGGGGTGCTAGTGTGCACTTATTTAATGTTCCTTGGACTACCCCTATTCTATCTCCTCCTGATTGTCAGGGTTAGGGTCAGCTCAGGGGTAAGAACAACATAACTGCGTCCCCTTCTTTTCTCGAAACCAACATCATTTAGACGGATCGCCTTTAGCATTGAATGCTAGTAGCTGCTTTTTGACTATCAGGGGAGTTTGGGTTTCCTCGTCGGTAATGGCTGTAGTATCCACTCTACTAGAGTACAAGTCGAGCTTGATTCGCACTCATGTCGCTAATGCAACATTAGACTTCATTTCGTTCATAAACTCAAGGCACGGTGAGCTGTAGCTGATTTGTCCAAAGTTAGGTATGGTGGTCGCATCGCACACAGGCCCCTACTCATGCAGCTCATTCACAGCCTCACTCTCATCCCCACCAACGTAGGTTTTTTGAGGACAACCCCCACGATCGGTCTTTGAGTCAACCTTTGAGGACGACCACGATGTTGTCGCCTTGAATTAGATCCGTCACATGTGTATATAAGAGGGACGGCTTCATCAATTCAACAGGGCTTTTCATCTTCATTTTCTTCAATCTCATCTCGAATTCTCATCTCGCATTGGTATTTCCCCTCGCTTCTCTTTCACGCACCGACAGTATCAATAGCGCACCGTTCGCATCCTCATACGTCCAGAAGTTCCTGTGGCTAACCCCTCGACATCGAATCTCCCGGTCCCATCACGGCGCGCGTCTAAGTTCAAAGCACAGTAAACATGACCAGCCCGGACCCTCAAGATGACTCCAGCGTTGCTCCTGAGACTGCTGACGAGGACATGGTCGAGTGGGTGGACAACGGGCTCAGGCTCAGACTTGCGCCCTTCGGACTAGAAGAATTACAGGAATATGTGCCCGGCGGTTATCACCCCGTTCACCTGGGCGACGTGCTTGGTGATGCATATCGCATCATCCACAAGCTCGGGCATGGAGGGTTCGGCACGGTTTGGCTCGCACGCGATCTGAGCGCCAAAGAAACAACCAAGTATGTGGCCTTGAAGATCCTCGTAGCCGACGCATCTGGAGACGACTGCCCCGAGTTGCTCATGGATCGCCTCGCTGGTCAAATAGGCAAAGTAGAGGGCCTTGGAGACCTCTGCTTCCCCCTTAGCCGGTTCAAAATTGAGGGTCCGAACGGGTCTCACCTTTGTTTCGTCTACCCTGTATTGGGCCCTCGAGTTTCGTACGGAGTTTTTCGAGATTCCGATGATCTGGAAGAAATTCTGCGACGTGTGTGCTACGGTGTTACGGCGGCGATGGCCTTACTGCACCATCTGGGTATCTGTCACGGAGGTGAGAAAGGAAAAAGCCCCGCTCTTAGGTACTCTCCTGGAACTACTATATACTAACTTGACGACAACAGACTTCAGACCACATAATATTCTGCACCCGGTCACTGGCCTTGACGGGCTTTCGGAAGAAGAGGTCCTGGACATCCTTGGTAAACCCAGGCGCAACCCCGTCTTTAACGCGAACGGGCTATCGAGAGAAGAGGTCCTAAACATCCTTTCTGGGCGCAGTCGCACCCCCGTCCTTGACGCCAACGAAAAAGAGAATACTACTATGCACACCGGCCCCCGATATCTCGTCTACCCGGTTGGATGGGATGACGTAGATATCGCATACATCCTCAAGACCGCCAAGATCATCGACTTTGGTGAGTGCTTCGACATCGCCAAACCCCCCGAGAATGTCGGTACACCAGGATGCTACCGCGCTCCGGAGCTGCTTCTCGAACGCAAGGTCGGTATCCCCTCTGATCTTTGGGCATTAGCCTGCACCTTGTTTGAGATCCGGACGGGGCGAAAGCTCTTTGAAGCTTTTTTCGACGAGGACGACGACTACCTCGGGGATATGTGCGATGTCCTCGGCAGGCTCCCGGAACCGTGGTGGTCCACGACGTGGGAGGCTCGAAGACAATTCTTCAAGGACGAGACGGATGAGCATGGTCGGGTCGTTTCAGTTCACGAACTCAAGACCTCTGTTCATGATGATAGTAAACGTGACTATGTTGTTATCTCATCGGGCCCCCCAGAAGCACGTTCCCTTGTGGACAAGATCGGGCATGGGATGATGTATATGGAGGGGAGCTTCTACAAGGACATCGCGGACGAGGAGAAGCCTGTCTTTGCCGATCTCCTTGGAAAACTGTTGGCATTCACCCCAGAGAACAGGATCAGTGCCCAGGCAGCTTTGGAGCATGAATGGTTCAGGATCTAGAGTAGAAATACTTACTAGTAATCGAATGTCCTAGCGCTCTCGTGGATACTTCAACCCAGCTATACGCAAATTTATGACAGTGCATTCGTACTACATCCCAACATCTGCCCATGTTGCCCATGACAGGAGCATGGGCGGCCGAGTATAGAGATCATGCTAGGTAGTAGGTAGGTATACTTGTAGTAGTTGGCGCGACTGGTCTACCCACGTCGTTGGTCGGTATGCACTAGGCCAACTTATCCCCATGTAGTTGGCTCCATTATAGTGCTTCGAGGAAGAGTTCCAGGACGGTCTGGTGGCGTACAGCCTGGCGTTAGCGGCAGAAGGTTTATGACGACCAGCTCAGCTCAATCACCCCTTGTCTGCGGTGCCACCGGGCCGGCCCGAAACTCCGAATGACGGCGGACCTTCCGTCAGCCGGTGCAGCGAAGACGCCGAAGGCCGAGGTGATGGTATCCTGACAGGCGGGATGAGGTTGGGGGTAGGTCCGGCTCTGACCAATCAGCTCAATTGCCCTCCCCGATCCGACTAATCAGGGCCTAATAAGGGGCGTGACATTCAATGACCCCCCTACAGAAACTCCCTGTGGTAACCAAGGTTAGTTGTTTCGCTGTTAACCTAGAGGTATTAATGATCTGCATGCAATGCTCCTTGGCTCTCACCCAGGCCTATCCCCACCTGTTATAACCATCGTTCTCCCCAAGTACATACACCATCAGGGTGCCAAGCTGCCAGCCCTTACCCAGCCCGAGGAGAGCCGTCACCCCCACCACCACCATGGCCCTCAGGTTTGCATTTGGCCTAGTCTTGTCGCTGTTTGCCAGCCAAGCTATAGCCTGGACGTACACGGAATACCTCAGCCCAGTAGGGACGCAGGGCTTCAGCACAGTCACCCCGACCGGGTCCGTCTCAGCCAGCTCCAGCGAAACCGCGAGCACGCAGTACACGGCCCTCCTGGCTCAAGAGTCCATTACCCTAGATGTGACGGTGACCAAGGTCTACCTAGCCTCTGGCAGCGCCCCGATCTGCGGTCCGGACGACAAGCCCTGCTCGACGACCAGCACCAGCACCAGCACCAGCACCGGCAGCGGGGGCATCGACACAACCGTCTACGCCCCCATCGTCATCACCAACCTCCCTTCGTGCACCCTGACGAGCTACAGCTACACCACATCGATCAGCGGCCACCTCGGCCCACGGTTTGGGTTACTCGAAACTCTCGACTCTATGCCCGGCGTCCTGTCCCAGGCGACCAACACAGGGCCCGAGGGTCCAGCCCTGGCCGTGTCGACGTACGTCGTCACCCTCAGCACCAACCTGGGCGGCCAGGCCGTCACGACCACGCGGTGCGACATCTTCCTTAAGCCGGGCCAGGTCAGCGGCTTGCGAATTAACTCGCAAGACGAGCAGTTCATGGAAGAGTGTGTGGACCCGCGCCTGTACCGGTGTCTCGATTTGTATACTATGCGTGCCACTCCGACCTGCGGGACGGAATGGATCGGGACGTACGGCCAGGGGCGTCAGACGGCGGCCGCGACTAGTGCGTCCTCCGGCGGTGGGAACGCCGGGCCAAAACCAAATGGAGCTTGGGGGCGGCAGGATATGGCGCGTCGCTGGGTGTTGGTGGGAGCCGGCGTGGCAGCCTTGTGTTTCATGCTGTAGACAACGCTATATTCTTCTAGAATATAGATTTTGATTCAAGGTTCTTAGAAGATAAGAAACCTGAGCCATTCGGCCCAGTACAAGGGTCGTAGGGACAGAGGCTACCCCTCCGGGCACTCATACCCTCACCTGGGAGAGAATGTCCCGCGAACTTACCCCCCATCCCGTCACTGTATCATCCCCAGTTCCCATCAGCTCACTGAGTTTGCCAAACTCATCAATGAAATATACCCTCATGTCATCCATGGCGTCACTGGGGTGATAGCCGGCTGTGGCACACGCGATTCCGGAGCCGTAACTCAGGGTTCTCGCAATCGACGTTGGCGCGCACCATCCACCACACGTCTGACCCTGCCCCCCGTTCCAGCCATCCCAGCGGCTCCAAGTGACCTGTCGTAGGGTTTGGTCAGTGACCATTGAGACCAGGATCTTTCTCTGGCTGCTTTCGACCGAGAAATGAATCGGGATGAGTGAGCATACCTGGTTCCAGATCTGTGAATTGAGCAAGAAGAAGTGCGGGAAGACTGGTCCGCCCCTTCTGCCTCGAAAGATGGCTTGGCATGCTGCCATTCTCACGCCAACGGCGGCGGCCTTCCTATGAAGTCCTGGTTGCCAACTTTGTGAGCAACTTTCGGTACTGGTAGCAGGGGGTGGCTGAGGTCGTGGACTTACCGAATGCTTTTGTGCTGTCTCGCGTGTTCAACAACCTCTCCATGATGGGGTTGCCGGGTCTGTCCACCTGGTAGTAGAGATGGGTCGTGTAGGCATCGCTCTCATAGAAGCCCGCCAACCCGGTTCCAGGAGCAGGGCGGGGATCAGGTGTGGCTCCATCCGACCGGTATGTGCAACCTCCAGTGCCTCCAGGGTTGAACCTGCATTCCTCAAAGTTTCCATTGCTCTTCTGAACTGTCACGAGGAAGTTGCCCCGATCAATGACCCACGCAACAATTCCACCCGCTTTGGGATGCACATCGGTGATGAGAACGCGGGAACCAAACCTGTTCGTGCCGGGTGTCAGCGCTGATTCTGTCATATACGGGATGCAAAACCTGGCGCAAGACACATAAAGCCCTTACCATCGTTTAACATCATTGGCATCACTGGTCCATACCCTCGTTCGAAGGTTGTTGCTGTCGTCGATGTACATGACTGCCACCTGAGCCCACCGTCAGTGTCCAAACCCTCCTTTTGTGAGGATTCTTTTGCTTCTGCCGTTCTTACTACTTGGGCATCATCGTCCGCAGGCAAGGAGGCTACAGCCAGCGGGGTGTTTGAACGTGGCTTGAAGCAAGACTCGGACTCGAAGCTGCCTTGCCTCCATGTTTTGCTGGTGTGCCAATACACCTCACGGACAGTTTGATCCGTGCTCTGATAGAAGACGTGGGGTGCAATGGTCTTCTTGCCGTCTATCTTGACGCGAAGCCCAAACGCAGCCAAGGCGCTGTTTGGGTCGATAGAGTCGGCATTGGTGAAAACCGTGAGGATAGCGAGAATAAAGAGGTAGGCAGTGATGGGATTTCCCATTCTGTGGGCCACAAGCCAATGGCTATTTGGTTTGACAAGGAGGGCGTGGACTGAAGTGAGGTCAAGTGAGGTCGAGGGAATTGCAGTGAGATCGGGTCCATGTTATTGACATATAAATACGAAGTCAACCCTGAAGAATGTCATGTACCCAAGTGAAAAGACGCTGCATCTCGTCGTCTTAAGTGTGTAATACCTGTGGTGTTGTAAGGCTGACGGGTACCATCGGAAAATGAAGTCACTTGATTATGTTGGACCTGAAGCGGAGTGCAATTTCCAGGCTGACTGCAGAGTGTCATTTCAGCTGCTGAGATTTTCGATGGAAAGAACCTGCCTATACCAATTACACTTGCTTGGTGAGCGCCAGGTCATGTACTCGGTCGCTCCTGGCGAGGGGGCCAACCGTTTGCGGGACGGCCGACATGTAAGCACGGCTGCAGTTCCGAGTAACTACTATAAAGTAACATCCCTTACCTACCACTCTTTATCTCATTCTTCGGTCCTGCCGACATGCTCTCAGCTCGACTCTTGCTGTACGTTTGTCTACAAATGGCACTCCGCGTCTCTATATGGCACTCCGCATTGTACGTTGTGGGCTGAAATGCCCAAAGGGTTTGTCGACGCAACCCTACCCACGATACCAAGCAGTATCACGCGATGGCATTGTCCCCAACGCAGCGGTATCTTGGTATAGGCACCAGGCAGAATCATGGCCAGGAAGACGTTTGGCCGAGTGTCCGGGACTGACCGGTCTAAAGTCCTGTCATAGCCATTCTTCCTCCTTCTCACCGACGGCCGCGACATGAACTAAGGTACCTTGTCTCGTAGAAAAGGACACAGAAGGGCCTCCATTAATGGTTGACTCTTGATGAGCACCAACATCACCCACAGCCACGGTTTAGTTTCACTCTCATCCAGGCCAATTCATCCCATCTCTAGCGGAAAACGCCGCAAACATGATCCCACTCAGGCTCTCTTGCCTCGCTTCTGTGTTGGTTCTCGCTCAACTCACCGCGGCGCTTGTCGTGTCGGACAAAAGACAGTTGCCGCCGCCGCCGCCCATTCCCACAGGCACGACATCAACGACAATTACCTGGACGGTGACTACAACTAGCAACACAGCCGGCACCACACTTATGGCTGTCAAGACGGCAGCTGCCGCCGATGTTCAATGGCCGCCGCCCGCAATTACGGTTACTGTCAATACCGACGTCAAAATCGTTCTCGTCAACGAGATGCCCAACGAGGAAGTCACCCTTCATTTCCATGGTCTCCTTATGGACCAAGGTTTCGTATCCATGGATGGACCCGAGGGTATCACTCAATGGTCTGTTGCGTTTCCTCCCACCGTCGGATCCAAAAGGCGTAGTAGACTACCTAGAAGGTCTCAGCTAATCAATGCCATCCGTCTTACAGTGGGGTGTCTTCAGGGACAGCAAACAAGAGAAATACCTTTGTTTACCGCTTCGTTACGGATAAACCTGGCACCTACTGGATTCACAGTCACTCACCGGGGCAGTACCCCAAAGGACTACGGACCCCGTTCATTGTAACCGATGATTCGACGGAGAAGGAACTGTACGGTTATGTGAACGACTACGCCGCCTCTGTTTCAGATTGGTGAGTAAATACCTACCTAGGTATCCTCTGGCGCACGGAATGTGGTGTCCCCGAGACTTGGACTTTTCTAACCCGCCGTTACCGTTCTGAAGGTATCCCAACTTTTGGGATGTTGAAAACAAGTATCGGGGCGTGGCGACAAGCGGAAACAAGCCGTGCGGTCCCGGAATAGAGCTGGCTCCAAACAGTAAGCCAAACCCCATCTGAGTCCAGATTACACCTAGGCATCCTTCCAGCTTCTAGAAGTTCTAGGTTGACCCAGCAATAGAAGTCGTCTTCAACGACAATATCCCATCCATGTCCATACGAAGCAACACGCCGTTGGACGCGACATCATACTATCTTGCGCCGACGCAGCCGGGCGGCCAACCTCAGCGTACTCGCTTTCGTTTCATCAACATGAGTGCCTACTCGCAATTCTTCATTGCCTTTGAGGATCACAGCGTCCACGTCATTGAGGTCGACGGAGTCCTGCTTGAGAATGGCGCAACTATGGAGAAGACTCTGACTGAAGGGTTTGTTTTGGGGCCTGGTCAGCGAATTAGTGTTTTGCTTCAACACAAAACGACGTCTGAGGCACGGGAGAAATCTTCGCAAGGGAACCCCTACCGCATCTTGGTGGCCGTAGATCCCCGAATGGGCCCCTTGAAGTCGGATATTCAAGACTGCCACCTCCAGCCGGCGGCCGATCCTTCAGAGACAATGTTCACCTGGGGCTGCCTTTCATATACGAGTCCCGATGCCGAGTGCAAGGCTCCAACGTCCGCCGAGTTCAAGATGCTCAAGTTTTGGTCCATGTCGGATCAGGATCAGGAATTGCAGCGCGAACCGAAGAAGAACAACACTCTCGATGTACCCTGGAATGACTATCTGCATACCCGGTATGCGTATCCGTGGAACTTCAACGAGCGTCTGTTTGTCCCTCGAACCAAGACACACAAAGACAACTTGGTACCACAGTCCGAGCGAGAAGGCAACGTTAACTGGTTGAAGATTATTGACACTTCAGATGGGAATCAGTGGGGATCCTTTGACAACGTCCCGTGGGTCAACCCAGTTCCACTTGACTACATTAGCTACTCATTGGAACCAATGACTGACCCGATACCTTATAGATGGGACCCTCCCAAGCGAATAGACCACGTCGGCCTTCTCCGAGCCCTCGACGACAGTATCTACAGTTACCTGGTGCCGGGTTACTATGGGAAGCACGAAAATACGATCATAGTTCAAGAACTAGGTGATGTAACATGGCTCCTCATCCACACCGGGAACGGAGACCACCCAAGTAAGTCCCGAACGCGCCCCCTTTCTCTCACATGGACGGCCACCGGAAACAAAAACTTATTTTGATCCCAGTCCACCTCCATGGCCACCACTTCTACGTCCTCTACAAGGGCTTCGAAGACGACCTGATCATGGCCGAGTACGAAAAAGTCGCGCGAAAGCGCAACGCATATATACCATATCATAGTCCCGCTGCGGACCTCGAGGAGTGGTCCAAATTCCAGAGCGCGCTCTTGAAGCTTACCCCTGAGTACCCCATGCGGCGCGACACCATCGTCGCCGAGAAGAACCAGTTCATGGTCCTCGCCTTTGTCGCCGACAACCCCGGCGTGTGGGCGTTGCACTGCCACAACGACTTCCACGCCCGCACGGGCATGATGCGGCAGGTCGTGTCGGCCCCGAGACGGCTACGGGAGCTGTTCGGCACGTATAACCTCACGTCCGGCATGCAGGTGTCAAAGGGACAGTACCGGGACAATAGGGTGGAGTGGATCCGGCGGAACATTGCTGGGTGTAAAGACGGGTTCGACATGTCGAGCTGGGTGGATCAGAACGGGCTCTAAGGGTGACTGGGTGAGACAAGATTGGTCTAGCAGACAGGGTCTTTGTCCAAAGTTTCCACCTCTGGGGAGGAGAATTAGTTAAAGAGCGGCTTCTTAGTGCTCCAATCGGAGTCCAAGACTATCTCTACCCGTATGAGTTGGACTGAGTAGACTCGAGCGTTACAAGTAGCGGTCGGGTGTCAGAGGGGGCGGAGGAAGGTAGAGAGGTTCAATGTAGTCCAATAAGGCTACATACCTATGTACTGAGGAAAGGAAGAAAAGGAGGGCAAATCCAGGGCCAAGTAAATGCCAGAAACAGGGGCGTGTGACTGGATGAGGTAAGCAGTGTGCGCCCGCCTGTAAGTGTTAAGATTTTAACGATTCAAGCCGTAAAAATGGGTCCTCGCTTAACAATTTGTTAGTGTAAACCCTTGCTTTACAGCTAGACTGATCATCGCAGTAGCCGCGCTCTCTTTCAACCGTTCTCCGATCTCGTACAGAAAGATGGAGCTAGTTTGAGGTCGGGTTTTCGCCTGTGTTCAAGGCTCAGAGAATCTCAGGCTCGGGCACACAGTTATCCAAAGCTCCGGGTTCCCTGCTGGGAACAGCCAAACCGGTCCCCTGGCGCATGATTGGCCGCTGCCGACGACTTATCTGGTTATCTCCCGCGGTGCGCCACATCGAACCCATGTTTTCCGCGGGAGCTGAATCTGGCGCTTTCCCTTATCTCGAAACCCTCGTCTTATCCCTGGACGTTGTATCAGTTCAGCTTGAACTCAGCGTTCCGTGATCTAACACTGGACCAACAGCCGGCATATTTCACTTGGTATCTCCTCGGGCGCCACCCTTGATTTCCATCATCTCCCCACGCTCTCTGTCTCGCGCTACTAGGCAATATAAGACTCACCCCAGGAAAACCACCCCCAGATTTTCTCGACAGAACCCCCATCATCGTGGGGGAATGGATATCATGATGACTGAGGTAGCTAGGGGTAGTGAAACCCCTGAAAAGGCAAGACGAGCTCAGATTGTCGATAAGGGCAGCCATGCCCCGTCGAGCGAGAGGAAAGACCCCGTTCAACCCAGGACGACCGTCACGCCCTTGGCCTCCATCCTTTGATGATGCAAATTTGGCTTGCTTCTGATGCTGAAGCCGGGACAACGGGCAACAACGGGCATTGCAACTTCCGGCATATCAAAGCTAGCCTGGCCCTACACTACTTTGGAGTCTTGAACCATGCGAGCTTGACAGCTCAAACCAATGATGCCGAGGATTGAAGCATTGGAAAGCTGAACTCTCTTCCCAGCTCGGCAGTAGCACTGATAAGAACTCGAACCATGTTGCACGTCATTGCTTCTCCCGTTTCTTCTTCTTTTCCCAGCACATGTCAATGTCACGCATGTAGATTGTGAAGCTCCCTCTCACACGAGGGCCCTCGCGGCCCTGCAACAGCCCCTTGCCAGTGCATCCTATAATCTCCTAGAGTCTTGTGGCATCTCCGGGACGACCATCTCAGCGACGTTAAACGACGATTTCGACTTCCTACTAGTACTCTGGTATAAAAAACTTGATCAGTCCCTGTTTAGGGAAGCTGGACTGTCGATCTCCAGTGCCCTTGGAAGGATAGACCATGATCTGCGCGACGACATGACGCTCTTCCACTTCGATATTGCGCCCCGGGCGGCGCTGGCGGCGCCGACAGAGCCTTACATCATCCAGATCCAGAGCGCCGTTATTGTGGCGGCCTCGGTCCTGTCGGTCTTCGGAGCCGGGTGGATCATAGCAAGTTTCTTTGTGAGAGCCCATTTGCGACATACGGTCACCCATTGGACAACCGCTGACATTAGTATACTCACTCGGACCAGGTCTTCCCCAACCTTCGGAGCTTCCGCCACCACCTCATCCTCGGCCTAGCCATTAGCGACTGCGCCATGGCGTTTAACTTTCTCGTCTCCTCCTCCATGAACGTTGCCGGCCGGTGGATAGGCGCCCCAGAGCAGGCCCGTTTCTGCAGCTTCAACGGCTTCATGACCCAGGTGTTTGTCATACAGACCGACTATTGGGTTCTCATCATCGCCGTGTGCACCTACTTTGTTTTGGCCGACCACAAGAGGTCCTCGTCGTGGGTCCAGCGCCATGTCGCCTTCATCTGGGCACTGCCATGGACCTTGTCGGCGCTTTGGGCGGCCATTGGCTTGGGCGTTACTGGGTATGGCGACATTGGCGCCTGGTGTTGGTTTACCTCTGACGAGGTCCGTCTGTTGGTACGTGTTTTCAGTTCCGATAGCGAGGCATGTACTAGATTCTCATCGGCTGACGACAGGTCAACTTCGTCCCACGATGTAAGTTATGCTAGTACTGGCAGTACTAGTAGTAATACTGGAGACATTGGGACACCGCTGACGTTGCCCAGGGACCATCATAGGTGTGATGGCTCTCATGTACGCAAGACTGTACCTACTTCTATTTCATGCCCACCGCAGCTTGGTGTCGAGCACTCCAAGCGGTTCGGGCTCGCGCCAGCTTGATGCCGGGAGCTCAGGTCACGCCGAGGGAGGCGTGGTATCAGCGAGGCATACCCGAAGATTGAAGAGGGTATGACAGAGCCCCGGGCGTTCCTGACTTGTCCTTTTTCGCCATGCTAACCAGGTGCTCTCTTCGCTACTTACTAGCTCGCTCGTCTGATGCTTCTCTACCCGCTTGCCTATGCCGTCGTCTGGACTCTTCCCACAGCAATCCGGATCCATCAGACAGTCACGGGGGAGGCGGCGCCCTGGCAGTTGCAGACCGCGGACAAGGCGTGTATCGTGCTGCAGGGTTTTGTGGATGCCGCCATCTATGGCGCCACCGAGAGTTGCCTGTCGAGCTGGCGGAATCTCCTGTTTCCTCGAAGGTTCCCGGCCGTCAACGACATTGGCATGGGTGCGCAGTTAGACACTTTGAGCGGCAAGCGGCCCTCGCGCATGTGGAACCCGCCACATACGGCCGATCAACAACTGGCTTCGCGGTCCTCAAACGGGGACGTGACGCGATCGGGGAACAATGATTCGGTTGGTTCCCTGGCCGTTTCAAGCACCGAGGAGACCGCGGTTGAAGGTCGTGACCGCGGCGGGACCGGGAGCTCCGAGGGGACCCTGCCCATCATGGGAATCCGGAAGACGGTGGAGATCGAGATTAGTACCGCCGACGAGACAGCAAAGGCAGCGCCCCAGATGCCGCTCAAAACGTACTTCCCAACTCCGCCACGAGATCGTAATCCGTAATGGGTCGGGAAGATCAGGTTGTACATTACACATTTGGGCATGAGGACATTTGGAAAGTGGGCTGTAGCACTCTACTAGAGAGTACGATATGATGAATGAGCGAAACGAAGTTTCAACGGCGCTGCATTAGCGGCTGCAAATCAGCTCGCCTTGTAGCAGGGTGCAGCCATTGCGGGCGAGGAAACTTGATATTCAAGAAGCAGCCGCTAGGATCTAGATTCCTTCTAAATAGTTGCTGGTCTCGAGAAAGCAGGGGTAGCTGTTATGTTGTTGTTACTCCTGAGTTGACCCTAACCCTGAGAATCAGGGGGATAGGGGTACCAGTCCAAGGAACATCAAATAAGTGTACTGTACACTAGCAATTCTCCGTGGCTTGGGTTTACGAACGGAAATACTTCGTACTTGTGGATGCCCAGTCTCGTGTAATACAATCGGGCGGTTGTGGTAGCAGCCTCAGAAATCAGTTTGGCGTGGAAACTGGAATGACTCGGACCTGAACAACCTACTAGTAAGTTTCATGATCAGGAGTGATTAGTTTTGAACCTATGATAGTGATACACTGCGCCATATGTTTTGTTTTGAGCTATGAGCCAATACCGCTAGCTGCATCAACGTCTCGAAACAGTCAAGTATATACCGTCTGTGGGTTCGCGGCCTCTCGACTATATAAAGAGCTTGTTTGACTACCAATTCTGCTGCTTCCCTCGTCCTCGTTGTCATCTGCCTTATTTTACTGCTGCGGACTGCTGTACAGACGGTTATAACTTATAACCACGAAGCCCCTGACACTCCTCAGTGCTCGGAAATCTTCCCCCTATCTACATCATTAAGAGCAGCAGTCCTGCATTATCCCAAAGGCGTCACCTCTGAAAACGAGAAGAGACCGCTTACTTTCCCTCGCGACAAGCCACGTGAACCTTGGATCGGAAAGCATACACAACACTTTCACAATGCCTGTTCCCCGGGCAACCCCCCGTCCCTCTAAGACGGCAGCGGCAGCTCACGAGTGGCAACAAGGGGACATCGCATTCCTGATGCCAGCAGAAGCCTTCTCCGCACCCGATTACAACGACCTACTCGCGAAACCGCCAGGTCGTGGATGCCGCGCCTACATTCCAACGCTGGCGACGGGGCACCCGGTCATCGTCCTGCAACGCGCGGCCAACCATGTGCTTATCACGCCAGTACCGGCGTACAAGTCAGGTCCGCATAACAACTACCTTGCGCCCTGGAAGCCGATATACCAGCAGTCCAAGAACACCCTGGATTTCCGCTCCTTTTCCGGCTCAGAGCTCTCCAGCCACGATCGCCCGCCGCTCTTTCTCGAGAGCGGGTCGATGCCCAAGCCCAAGACAAGTTGGGTAAACATCCAGAGTGTCTGGGTGGTATCCCTGAGCGTAATCGGCCGTTTCACCAAAAGCCGCCAGCTCTTGCGCGTCCGGGAGGACAGCCTGAGCAGCCTGCGCGAGCACATGGCGGAAAAGTGCGCGCGATGGCTAGACAGCCAGAAGAGGCTGGCGGCCGTCCTGCCACCAGCGTCCAGCCTCCCGTCTTCTTCATCATCATCATCAAAGCCCGGGCCCGCACTGAGCAAGGTCAAAGCGGCGGACCCAGCGCCAGCACAAGCACCTGCCGCTGACAGTGCGGTCAAGCAACAACATCGCCGCCCCCGTCGCAGTTATGCGCAGTGCTGCCGCCCAGCCGCGCAAAGCACGACGGGCCTGAGCGGCAGTCGCAGCAGCCCACGTCATGCAGTACCGATTCGCAAGGGCACGGATATGCCGGCCTAAGAGAGGGTCGAGTACCAACGAGGCGGGTTGAAAAGGGGGCACGTGGTGGTCAAAAGGCACCATCGCAGCATTGCAGCAATCCACGTTGACGTGCGAGCTGTTATGGGACTCTTCTTCCTCGAGAGTTGGGTACGTCGCGGTAGCCAGAGAGTAGGAGGCACATGTAACTGGATAGACCCTGAGATCTCATTAGGATTCTGCTCTGGTACGGAGTATTAAGGGGTGATTGAGGAACAAACGAAGTACAAATATGCACAGTGAATGTAACATATACGCCCCAAGTTTCTCCACCGTGCAAAACGCCTTTTATACAAATGAAGAGCTGTAGCGTCCCGTCCAAAAAAATATCCAAGCATCCAGTAACCCCCGTAGGAGTGTATCCGGAGTCTCACCGCAATGCACGCAGGCTGGGCACAAATATTGCTCACAACTGCAAACATCCATCTCAGACAACCCAAACCAGTAGCATATTCACCACAGCAAGTGCCACAAGCGCGGCGCTTCCTGCCCTTGCCCCTCCCCCGGCCTCGCTACTTGAGCCCGACCCGGTCTGCGTCGGGCCGGGGATCTCAGTCGACCCGCTGACCTTTGACGCAACCGGGCCAGGCCCTATAACGACGCCAGTAGGCCCTGACCCAGTAAAGGTGCTCGCCGGGGGACGGCTCGTCGTAAAGTCCAGACTGCCGCCGGTAGCAGTAGGCGTAGGGAGTTCAGTACATTCTCCAGTCGACGACGGGACAGCGTCCACTCCAGACCCGATCGCGACCAGGTTAGTCCCGCAGTTTGCCGCCTGCGCAATGTGCAGGTTGCGGTTGTCCTGATCAAACACAACGTAGGCGGCGCGCAAGAAGGTGTCGCCCAGGATGGGCTCCTCGTTGTCGGGCAGCACACCCAGGATGCAGTACCCCTGCACCTGCCAGATGAAGTCGTTGAGCGACACGCGGATGGCCTTCTCGCCAAAGTAAAAGTCGACCGACCCGTCCACATCGGCCACGTCGCAGGGCAGGTAGTAGAAGCCCGTGCGCGGGTCGTACTCGGCGTCGTTGAAGGCCGAGGCAAACGCCTCGTAGATGGCCGGCGGCAGATAGCTGAACGTGCTGCCCGAGTCGAGAAAGACGGGCACCTCGAGTGTTTCCGACTGCACGACGGAGCCGTCCGGCAGGGTGAGACCGACCCCGGTCATGGTCACGTAGTAGCGGTCCGCGGTCCTGGGCGTCTCCCGCCGGTCGAGGATCGGTAGCTTGGCCAGCTCGCCTATGTATTTGCCCGTATCGATGCCGCCGAAGATGAGGGCGCCGTTGGGGTTGTCGACGCCGCGCAGGTCGAGGCTGAATGCGCGGCTCTTGATCAAGCCTTGGTCGACCATCGTGTCAAGGATGTATGGGTAGTCATTTCGGCCGCTGGGGTTGGGTGACATGCCCAGGATACCGAGGGGGATGCTGTGCGATTCAGTTGCGACGCCGATGATCTGGTTCTCGATGGTAGCGGCTACAGATTTCGGTCCGTTAGTCAACAAGGCCACTTCAGCGACCCGGGAATTGGCAGGCCCGGCAAACTTACATCCAATGGTTACCGTCTCGCGGACATAGCGGATTGTGGCATTACCAATTCCGTAGACGAGAACATCGCCAGCTCGCGTTACATTGGCAGACTGGCTCTTGGTGTAGTCGTAGCGGGGGTGCGACTCGCAGTCTGCGACCTGATTGACATTGTCGCAATCCGGGTTTACCCACGTGTCGGGCGAACCCGTGTCGAGAATGAGCGACACTGGTTGTCCCGGGGTCCCTATCTCGACGTCGACGACGTATCTGGTGCCGGACAGCTGGTTGTCGACCTCAATCTCGTTCTGCCGTACCCGCAGCCTCGGGGCGGGGCCAGGAAGCGCATTGACGGGTGACCGAATGAATCCATCACCTCGGGTGACCAACTGACGCCGCTCGGATGCAGCGACCGACGCAGCGCCGATGAGGGGTGCGGCGAAAATGAGAGGCAACATCTCGCTTCATGCCCCCTCTTCTCCAGCGTCGTCGGAGACGGAAGAAAAGAGCAGACTGGCCTGAGAGCAATGGCAAGTGGGTCGTGTTATTGGCGATCGACCATGGCTTTGTTTCAATGTTAAGAGCTGCCAGGATCGACCCAAGGCTCTGGGGAAGCGGCATTAGACGTCCATCCCGCTTTGCATGGCACTCCAAAAGCAGGGGATGCAGCTAGGGCTTGGCCTGCTTGCGGTTCAATTCTAGGCTTTTGTGTCGAGTCGTGATTGGACAAAGAAAGCTAACCAGAAAAGGCCAAGAGACCACTGCTTCTTAGCACGTTAATAAAGAGAAGAAGCTGGAGCACTGCGCCACTTTGAGGACGCTACTGTCCGCCGGTGTCCTGTTTCGATCGTGAATACGGAGTAGATGGCAATTACTCTGTGGAGACACACAACACTTGCAAAGTACAAAGTACGAATACCGGAGCTCGCGAAGTTGGGTTACCTTTGCGGCTCGCCAAATCTGTCATCTGAAAATGGAATGAGCAGGTGGGTAGGATACAGTGGAGCCAACTTAAGCTTCCCCACAGTGCCCACTCAAAGTTTTAAACTGAAAACGTGCACACCCTTGCCTTCACTCCCCCGGACTCCTTCCCTTGGCTCAGAGGCTCAGCGAGTCTTGTTCTTGAACATTCGTGAGAAGTTGCACTTGAGATTGTGGGCTTCCGAAGACACTGTAGGAGGCAAGTTGTTCACTGAATATTGTGCCTAGGTTGGATGTTCAACTAATCAGATCAGAGAGTACGTTGTAGGTATTCAGATTTCGGGGAGTACACAGGAAAGCACGTTGTGAACGACGTGCCTATCATCCTATCTTGAGAGGTAAGATCTCAGAAGCCAACAAATAAATAAGATGAAAGAGGAAGAAAAGAATAGGGAAGAGGAAGAAGAACACGAGGGGGAGGAGGAAGAGAAGGAAGAAGACGAAGAAGGATATGATGGTGATGATGATCATTAGGACAGAGGAGAAAAATGAAGACGGGAGGTAACAAATGGATCGAAAAGGGAAAAGTAGAAGGTACCATCGTAAGTAGGAGTCTGACACTCGTCAACCCTGACAGTGGAGTTTCTGGCGGGCCGGCATCAGACATTGCCAGATCTTGTCAGGCCTTGGCAGTCCCCAAAGTGGGGTAGTATTGTCAGGGTCTGACGAGTGTCAAACTCCCTACTTACGGAGTACTCCGTACGATGGTACCGAAATAGTGGGCCAAGTACGGAGGTACGGGGACTTTGATGGTGCTTTGACTGCTGGGTTAAGGTTACGGTATGTAGATAAGATATGGCTTTTACCAGCATCACCGCCTTCCACGCAACAAAAAGTTCTCTTCCACTCAGTTCTTCGCATCCATTCACCAGTGTCCAATTGTCCAAATTCTACATTGAAGTTAACTGCGAAGTCGTCCTGCCATGGATATTAGGTACCTTCCTTTAGCCGCACAGGCACCAGTCTCGGCATCACGATGTCGCTTAAGCCACTACCCACTTCTGCCTGCTCTGCCTGCTACGGTGGGGTCTGATGAAGCCAAGCTCTTCCCAAAGTTCCCCTGATTGAGAGGAGAGCTCAACACACTCCATGGGTGAAGACGGTGTATATAATATCATGGCTGGATGCTCAAGGATTCCACGTCCGTTGCACTGTCTTCATCATTATCAACGCTTCCTCACACTTCTCGCCATCCCTCCTCACTCACCATGTTCAAACTAGACAATTTCACGGTTGACCAGAGCACCGAGGACGTCTATCAGAGATGCATTCTCCTGTCTGGAAGATGCGACTTGCAATCGGCCCAGGACGATGAGGGTGGCTTCGTTGTGGTTGACACCAAGGACCACACCGGTCAACCGCTTTTCCCTGAACAGCGTTGGCCTATGTGTCATGGCTATTTCAAAGCTCTCGTCCTGCTCGCGCCCGGGGCTAATAAGGTCGTTATCTCGAGCTGTCAAGACGCTACTTGCCGCACCGAGGTACCGTTGAACTTCCTGAATTGTGCAACACGGGTACATGTCTGACAGCCCGAAACAGTTTTCGGTTCGGTACACGCCTCTGCTACAAACGCCCCCTCTTCATCTGGCTATCATGATCGCGAAAGACTCTCCGCTGCTGATTGACTGCCCACCGTCAAAGTTTGGCGGTGTCTCCAGCACGCACTCCAGCTTGGATGCCGCCATCGCAAAGTTCCGCATGACAGCATACATGTGGCAAGCTCTTACCGCTGAGGATATGCGCGCCAAGGGACTCGGTCGTCGTTCTTTTCGCCTCGAGGAGGAGTGGACTATTGACACCCTAACCAGCCGCTCCGTTTGGTCTCGAACAATGGGACCCGTCCCCAAGATTCATCTCGTCCGTACCAACAGGACGCTCGCGGAACTTCGCGATGCAGACTTGGCACAGCAGAACCCTCGCGCAAGGCGTAAAGATGACCTCCACAGCATCTTCACCAGGGCGTTGCAAGCATACGGCCCTCCCTTTGAGTCTCAGGCCAATCCTGTCGTTGCTGGGCTAATTCTCGACTCGCACTACGACCTGGACACAAACATCATTCTTGCCCACGCAGCCCTCGGTTGTCACAGCCCAACTGGCCTTTCTCTGGGCATGTTTGGCAGTCACCTGACATATGCCTGGCCGCGCTTTCTCGAAGAAGTCCCAGACTGCCTCCTTGACACCACGCCAACGGGCGACACGGTTGGCAACGACAACGGCGAATGCGCATCCATGTGGGAGGCCTGCGCCGTTGGTCAGGGCGCATTCTTGCACGAGGTCGGCCATGCCTTCTCAGCACCACACACCTCGGGCATCATGACCCGAGGCTACTCGCCAGACTGGCCGAAAGCTTTCCTCGCGCGTACCGCTCATTCCGCCAGCCGGCAGACTCAGGGGACGCAGCCCGTCACGCCGGCAACGTCACACGATTGCTGCTGGGACGTGTCTGACGCGCTCCGCTTCTCCAATTTCCCTCACTTTTGGCTGCCAGGGGATACACCACGACCGAAAGATGTGCCGACGGTCAATGTCGAGGAGCCCAGCGATGAGGATGGCAGCCTCGAGGATTTGTGCATCGTGATTCAATGCGACGCAGGGATTGCCAGGCTGGTCCTCACCGGCGATGATGGTAGGAACAAAGAAGTCGACGAGACAGCGTCCATCGCCACTCCCGCAATGTCCCTCCGTTACATGCACAGTTACCTCGCAAAGCGGTTCAACACTGAGAAATCGCTCTCCCTGGAGGTCACCGGCATGAACGGCAAACAAACCGTCATTGGGAACGTGTGGAAGATATTTGAGAATAGGTCTTACCTCCGAGTCCCCGGCACGGATATTCGGCTGCTCAAAAAGTGTGTCGACGGTTCTACCAATCAGGCTGAGTCTGATGACTGGTCATGGGCGGTGATGCTCAAGAAGCGAAACCGAAAGGGGAAGTTGGTCAGCGCAACAAAGATTGACTTGCGAGTCGGCTGTGCCCTCGACGGCGCCGTGGTTTACTACAGCGATGGCACGAAGATACCCTGCGGTCCCCGTGGCCAGGACGGAAACGACCCTCATATGGGCGGTCATCAGCATCGAAAACTAGTCTTGCCAGAGGGAGTCGAGATCGCAAAGGTTGCTGTGACTCGATGTGGGGGATACTGGCCGCTCGCAGGATTGAGAATGTGGCTTTCGAATGGTGCAGCGATGGGAGCCCTAAATGTCAGGGGAGGGGGCGAGGTGGAGACGTTAGGTGTGTTTGATGGCAGCGAACTCATGGATAACTGATGACTGACAGAGAACACAGTGCCGCCCCCGAACCACAAGATTATTGGCTTCTACGGCGCCAGTGGTCGCTACGGCATGTGCACCAGATTTGGCATAGTTACCGCTCCCAGGGATGCTACGATTCCAGACTCGGTCTACGACATGGCCGAACTCCAGAATAACCCCGAAGACGCCCACCGTGACAAAAGACGGCGAACTGTACGTTTACTATCTGTCGTGGGCACATATGTGCAGGACTGGCTGACTCCCTCGTCTACGAAGGAATCTGTACGAGACGAGTCTGACTCTGACGACGATATGCAGTCTGACGAGGACCACGAATCGGCCTGTGACTCGGACACAGAGGGCGTGGGCGTGGACACCGGCTATGATGATGGCTCTGACACGGAGATGGAGAGAGTCTACCAAAAGCAAGGCGGGCAGAGTCTGCGGACCCGGGGCCCGGCCGATTATTGACACCCGGGTCTCGAAGCTGGTCCTTGGATATGAGTCCTTGGTATCCCCTGGGCAGTTCCGCTAGCACAGCATATGCGATTTGTGAAGAGCATGTGAAGAGCACGATGGAAGTTGACGGGGGGTCCTGTAAGTTCCGGTATCGGAGATCTAGTCAAGTCACATTGGCTATTGTGTAATAGAAAGAGGCTTATTATTTGTTGATCTCATGTTGCTTGAGTCCTCTGTGACCTTGATTCACATGCCGTCGTGTGTGTAAGTAGTCGACTGTGGGTCGGCTCCAGCAGATTGCTTGACGGTAATTCGCGAGACATCCAGCGCTAGACCGCTTTGGGCCTCTTATTTGACGTCTTGGTTCCTTCCCAACTCCCGCCGGTAGGACTCGAGTGCAATCTGCTCAAAGATAATACTAAAACGTTACTTTATCCAGTCCTTGGAAGCCGCCTCGTTTCTGTTTCTTCGACCACGAGAGGAAACGGATCCTCCCACCTTCCCACCCATCCCTTTACGAACCCTTCTTTACTAGAGCGCAAAACAGATTCTTGCCGACTGTCGACTCTGTCGAGTGATCGCATTATCAATTATCATCGCCTCGTTTATCACGGTGTCTGCAATCCTCCCCAGGGCAGAGTGCTCAAGGTAATCTTGCAAAACATCAGCGCAATTTGCAGCACCTTCCTCACTCGGCCCTGGATTCAGGTGAACAGTCCCCAACTCCCCTTCCCTCTTTTACCACATCTACCATTTCCTGCTTTTCAATTCACTCTAGCTCTGATCATCACCGCTACTTGCACATCGCCAATATGCGTGTGCTCCTCGTTCAGACGGCTCAGGGACTGACGCCCTCGTGCGGGGGCTACAAGGCGAACATCAGCCTGCTCCGAAACCTACGCAGTTACGGCCATGCCGTTGCCCAGATTTGCTACGGATCGGAAGCCGAAATCGAGCGGTCTACCAAGCTAGCCGAGGCCAAGGGCATCCAGCCCAACCTCGTCAACCATCCAGTCCCGCCCGTCATCGATCTCAAGGGCGTGGTCCACAACATCTTCGTAAAGACATTTACCGACGAGGACGGCATCCACAATGTGGTTCTGTCACGCGCCGAGTTCAATGCGGCCTACCCGGTTCGGGAGTTCTAGAACGACATCCGTGCCTACCTGGATGTAAGCTCCCCGGCCTGACAACGCCTGTTTGAGGGATTCTAATATTCTGGCAGCGCAATGAAACGACGTTCCGAATGCTCATGCTCATCCGTATTTTTACCGCGCACATCACGCTGTTTCGCCCAACCCATGTCATCTTCAACGACCCGGTTACCATGAAAATCACTTCCCTCCATCCCGACTGTGGGACATTCAAGCGCATCAATATCATTCACACCGCCGAGCAACTCCCATTTGGGCCCTTTTCCGGCGGCGTCGATGGGCACTGCCTCTCTCCAGCGGTGGAAGATGCCCTGCTTCGAGGCCTTGACGGAATCTGGGCCGTTTCTCGCGCCATTCAACAGTACGCTTGGACGTATGGAACGCTGGAATCAAAGTTCATCGTCCACCCCACTTTGACATATCTGGATAAGGACACAGGAAGCCTGCCGGTCGTTCGCAACAATGTTGACAAGCATGAGATTGGAATGGTCAACCCATGCCCACACAAAGGCCTGGCGATCCTTCTCGCTCTGGCCGAGAGGTTCCCGGACATGAAGTTTGTCACTTGGAAGAGCTGGGGAACCAGCAAAGAGCATACGGCCCAGCTTCTCGCTCTCCCCAACGTGGAGTGCGTTTCACCTTTCCGACGGACCAGAGAGAATCCTGCTGACAAGTCACACTACTCAGGGTTCTACCGACAACTCGCAATACGGACGAAATCTGGGACCGCATCAGGGTTCTCCTTGCACCTTCGGTTTGGCACGAGGCGTGGGGCATCATTGTAACCGAGGCTCAATTGCGTGGAATTCCGGTTATTGCATCCAACGCAGGCGGCCTGCCCGAGGCCAAGATAGGTCTTCCCTATTGTATCCCTGTTAACATGGTGACCGGCGCGCGTCACCCGAATGGAGATTACGTAGTGCCGGAGCAGGACATGAAGCCTTGGGAGGAGGCCCTTGTCACGGTTATGACCGACAACGAGGCTTATCAGGCTCTGACAACCCTCACTGCCACCAAGGCTGCTGAGTGGCTTTGCAACCTCGACGACCGGGCGCATGAAAAATGGCTGCTCTCAATGATGGATGGAAAGTTGGAATGAGTGGACACCGCACCGCCGGTAGCGGCTCAACAGCACGCCGTAGAGTCCCCTCCCCATTTTCGGGTTGATTCGGCCCGCTTGACAGTGGCTACAGGTTTCCGGCTGAGGCATAAGCAGTCGCAGGCAGACGTATTGCAGCATTTGATGGAGTGCCGGTTTTCCCTATGACGTGTCATCTGTCCTTGGGTGTTTCTTCATTCGTGACTTGTCTTGCTGCTTCCTGGATATGCGGGGGCTCCCTCATCCCTTCCTGTTGCTCCTTATTTGAAGAGAAGGATCGCATGGATGGTCCTTCTTTCCAATGCTGCCTTTGGCAAGCATTACGTCCTATCATAGCTGGTGTATGCTTAAATTGCTGACATGACGGGGCTGATCCATGGGTGCAACCCGAGAAAAAGACGTGGTGGTTAAGGTATCTACGACTGTTAGCCATGGCTCCTGCATGGGTTTACTTTTTGTGCGCCATCCAAAAACATTGCCCACAATTCCGATGTCGTCGTCAGGTAATCGATCATTTCTCAAGGACGAGTGAGGAACAGCTTCACCCAAGGGGGCGGCTCACATCAACTGACTTGTTGCAGCCCATCCGGGGCTGCGCCTGACAGCCCTCGAAGTCCCATCCCCATACCCTGCAACGGCACACGGTGAGGCCGCAAAACAGGGATGGTTGGATATATGTGATGGATCATGAAGCTGGATGGCCGCCTGTCAACAACCCGTTCCGAGTGCTCTCGAGGCTCTAGACTTTCGACTGCCCCTTTCGAGATGTGAAATAGATGCTTCACTGCTTATCAGGTCAACTTGAATGACAGCCATACAGATCCTCAACGCATGACGTCGCTCTGTGGGGCTTTGATGTTAGTCTTGGGGAAGACGGCACAATGACATAATATCATCCGAAGAGCACGGGGACATTTAAACCGACTCAACTCGTTATTGCTCCTGTAGAAAACTTTTGAAGCTCAATCACGTACACGGTACGACCATCAAAATGAGCTCCGCAGGTCAATCTCATGTCGGATTCCCTTCCATCTACGAGTCACAGAACCAGCGCCACACCGGTCAGGCTGAAATCGGTGAGCTTAGGAGAACTACGGGGGAGAATGTCCAAGGGTTTCTACCAAGTGAGTGGTTGTACAGCGCCCCAAAAGGAAGGGACTAGATTGGCTGACTTCCCCCAAAGAGGATCAGCAAAATGAAGTGAACAGGTTGCACGAGGAGCAGGTCAGAGAAACCGCTCGCGCTTCGCTACAACTCGAATAACGTGTGCGGGCTGACATCATGGCGTGGTTTTCTCTTACAGAGACAGAAGAAGCAGGCCGAGGCCGTTCGAAATGATCCGACGCTCGCCGTGAGTTGTCCTATTGATATGTTTGTTCTCTGATTGCCCAAGGTGCTGATATCTTGTGACTTCTTCTTCTCGCGGGCAAAAGGCAAACCTTCATGGGAATCGGCCGTCTAGGGGCGCCTTGGTCGACAGGGACTTGCAGAAAGAAGATGAGGCGATTCTGAAGAAGAAGAATGATGCCATGACTGGAAAGAAGTTTTGAGTTGGCATGCTGGGGCTGGGGTGGGAGATGAAAACAACCATGTTGGCGGGAAACCTGGCGGAATCAACAAGTCTTGAGCAGAAATGACAGTGTATGGATTAGTTTCAATGGCAAAGATCTTATCCTCGTTTGATGATTGTCAAAGCAAGACCGATTGATGAAAGAATGTTGCTGTGCTGGGAGCAAAATAGGTGGTATTGTCCTGTACAAACCGGACAGTGATGTGGTCTTGAATGGTTGTGCGTAATACCTAGGTAATCTGATAACTTTTGGTCTGGCAGGCAAACAGGGGAAGGTTTTGAGATCTGGGACAGGTGTTGAAAAAGGGACGTCTGGAGCAAACATCTGCTGTGATTGTTGTGGTTGTCAACAAAAGAAAGTGCTTGACCAAGGAAGGAGGTAAAAGTGTTGGTGGGACTTCTGGTACGCGGTATATAGGTTAGGTTCAGTGAGCAGGTATTCAACAGGAACCACTACACTTTCAATGGCGTTGTGGTGTAGCGGTTCCAGCGCAGGGTTGAGAAAATACCTGGACGGCCTCTGGTCGACCTCTGGTCGACGGGTGTTACAGTCCCAGACTGCTGTCTAGGCTCATACCCTCTTTTTTAGCCTTCAGGTTCGATTCTTAACTGGACCATATCTTTTTAGTTCCTCCTTTTCTACTATATTCTTCTCTTCTCGCATTTACTCCATCATCTCCTCTGTTCTTAGGGAAAGAAGTGTACAAAACATGCTCTGCTGTGTTGTGAGCGAGGAGTGAGCGGGAACCCGGGGAAAGGTATATTGACAATCACGAAAGCAGCTTGAAGTCAAAGGTTTGACTCTTCAATAAGTCGCCTTTTTTCCTCTTTATATTTATTCCTCTCTCGCTGTTCCTTTTACCTCCTGTTCCCCTTTTGCCTAATGCTAAGATCCTCTGCTCAACAGGTGAAGTAACATAGGTTGAAGACTTCATTGTTGGTTCACTGTCATTGAACTTATTCAAGTACCTTAGAATTAGGGGAGAAACCCGCGAGCCGCTTTCTCTTGTTTGGTACGGCTGCCATCTGATTCCATTCGACGATTTCTTTCCAACTTCCAATATTTGGAACCTGTAATCTCCCTCCACCCTCGTTTTTCGTCCTGGATTTTTCAACTCATTCCAACAGTCTTCATTCGACCAGATCGCTACGAACGTCCTTCATCCGTACCAGAATCCCAACCAAATTCAATCACGATGCCTAGCCGATTTTCTAGTAAACGTGCTCTTTACTTTCGTGGTTTGTCATTTCCTCCGGGAGAGCTCTTCAGCAGCCAGCCCCGGACGGAACGCATCTACCAACTCTTTTTCGGTCCGGGCTACACGGAGGTTGACCTTCGCGAGAAGATCCAGGAACTGAGGGCACGAACGACAGGCATACTTTCCACAATGTTCTCAACGTGTCTCGCAAGAGTCGAGACTTTTGTCTCAGTTCAGAATTCCGTGCTGGGATGGGAAGTTGTGGCCGGAGATCTCAAAGAGTCACATGGCTCAAGCCTTGCCGGGCCCGAGGTCGAAGAGCTTGTGCGCGTCTATGCAGACGCGAGAGGCGCCTACGTCCGTGCTGCCGGAGAACGTGGTGTCGACCACACCTCCGACGACGCTGACGGGCTCATCGCCCTGATCGACCAGTGGCTCGACGCGACCGGACACGGACAGGACCACTGGCAGCCGCTCGCTGGAAACGACGGCGCACACCTCTTGGTTTTTCGCCCGGCGCCGCTGGAAAACGCCATGGCTCGGTTCGATTTGCAAGACCGGCCGGGAATTTCCCAGCAACCCGCCGACAACCAAGACTGGCCCCCCAAGCACCTTGCCCCGGCCGACGCCCAGCTGCTAAAGCATCCCAAAATGCAGCAGCATCTAGCAGGCATCTACTGGCAAAACAAGGCCGCGATGCCCAACTTACCCGGCGAGAATACCGAGCCCCTTGGGCTGCGCCTATTCGTCACTTGGCTTGGCTTAGCCCACACCACCCCTGGAAGCACCGCCGCCCTGTACTTGGCCCCCGTCGCTTTTATGAATAACCGGGAAAGAAAAGATTGGTACGATGCTTCGGGGCAGCAGGCAAAGTTGTTTGGCCATACCGATGACTTCCTCGAGTACGCCGCCGAGGCTTTCAGAAGCGGCAAGAAGACCGTGATGGGACTCTTCACCCCATTCTTCGCTATCCTCCATGATGCAAGGAGCATTACCAACCAAGGGGCCGATAGCGCTAACTCCGCAGGGTACTCACCGCGCGACGTGTTCAACCAACACCATAAGCTTCGCCGTTTTGGGTGCGCCGTCCTTATCAGACACATCCAACGAAATGGATCACAGGCAATCCAGGTGGTTTTGTTCTGCCCCTGGGACAGGCACCGGTGGATCAAGGAGGCGTGGGAAGAGTATGAGTGGCGCCTTCTTCTCTGGAAGGAGAGTCTCCTCAACGCGGTGGACACATGGGCTACCGGGCACGGCGTCAGCAGCTGTGATGGATATACGGGCGGATCACGGTTTACCCGGAAGGATAGGGAGCCGGACTCGGTGGAGATGTGCGCGCAGTGGCTTCATGATGTGATGACGGCACCTAACAAGACCATTCCGAGGGCCGCAGAGGAGGGTGGCGAAGAGACGGAGGCTTGGGAGTGGGGAGGAGTTGTGTCGGTTCACAAGACTTCAGAACTGGCTAGGCCGCGCGGGTTGAGGGAGGACGGGACGCAAGGGGCTGTTTGCCAAAAGCGGAAGCTGAGTTGCTTGTTGGTATTTTGCGGATGATACGATCGTAATACCCGAGGAGATACCTAGGTACCCAGAGGAGCCGGTGAATACTAGGAAGGGGGCTGCCTGAAAGTTGCCAGTTGACTGATATGCGAACAAGTGCGCTATGCTTACGTTAGGTACCGTCAGGCCTGGGTACCGTTGCAACAATGCATTTGAGAAGAAGATTGGAACTTTTTTGCGGCTGGCGAATTTGTAGTGAAGCACTGAACGCTCAAGTGTCAACATGAGGGCAAGGAGAACCCTGAGATGTATCAAGGCATTCAACCCCCAAGTGTCTTCGTGGCCGACAAACTCAATATGCTTCAAGTTAGAGCGCACACGCCAGGGTCGTATGTCGAAGACCGGAAGACGAGCAGATTTCGTGGTGTGCTTTAAGTTCTGTGGCGAGTCCGGTGCGGACATCTAGAGCCCGGGGCGACGATGCCGTTCGTGATGCTGTTGGCTCGCAAGAAACCCAAGAATATTCTTGAGTAGCACAAACACACTGAGGTACTCTCATGAATCAGGAGTCAGTGACACTGTGCAACCAGTTATCCACCGGTTTGGCCACCGAGATATCGCAAAGAAGGCCTCGCCGGGCCCGGCTTGGCGTCGTCTGCAGTAAGCGTAAGGTGCCTGTACAATCAACAGAGTCAACAATATAGGCCCAGTCATCTGCCACAGCTGTGCAGCTGATGAAGGCTTCTCCTAGAGTTGTTAACGAGTCGTCGAGTCCGGAAAGTTGGAAACTGGCCGCCGTTCTCTATCATGACCGCCAAGTACCTTAATTACTTCGAAACTGCCGAAAGCAGCTCATTCCCGCCTTCCAAGGGATGCTGCAAACCAGCTCTATAAGCAGCACGACCGCACTCGATCGATCTCGATAGAAGGCATCATGAAGCACCATGGAATGGCAGTCTCACGATTACCTAAGCGTTTGTCGTTGTTTTAGGCTTTCTTTTTTTCGGACCAATTGATCCGCAACCAACTGACACCCTGGAACCTGGACCCACCGTAGCGGAGGAGAAGCACAAGCTTGCACGTGACTAGGCCGTGGAATTAGCTCCGGTACAAGAGTCCAGGCTTTCAAAGTTGCTGGCCAATGGGATTGCGCTGACGTCATTATACGTACAGGAACCGACAGAGCTTGGGACGGGCTACGGTAATTGAAGTACTACTGTACTCCGTACGGAGTAACTAAGTTAGAATAGGTACAGTACACTACATGTACATCTCATGGCCCCTTGACTATTTTACTTACCTATCGGTGGAGAGGCAAACGTCGTTCCTGGATGAGAAGAAGTCGCTTGTATCTGTCGGCCCTCCAAGAGTGCCTGAGATGGAGATTTTCAGTCGAACAAGTTCTCCGGGGGCATTGTATCAGTACCCCACAATACGGTACTAGTGTAAGGTAAGGTACAATACCTTACGTACGTGTAGGGCCAGAGGGTGTGGTGGGGTTGAAGCGGAGAGAGAAACTGTGACAGGCTGACAGCAAATCGCACTGTTCATGGCCACACTGGCCACGCTAACTCTGATCTTCCTTTCCGCCCATTGACCAGATTTTTCCCTCATGGAAAAGTCCCGCAAGCACATTGGCCAAGAACAATTTGATACCGCACCCTGCACTAAGCCGAAACCGTCCCGATACCATGGAGTCGGAGAAGAGGGGGAAAAATAATGCGCCTTCTCCGGGATGGGATTTCCTGGTTCCCCCATGATCCAGCAGCCTTCTCCGCCAGTCCGCCATTTTGACCTGCGGATCTCGACTAGGCCCCGCCCGTTCAAGCCTGCCGGGTCCGCTGTCAGCAGAGTGCAGGCATCATGTCTGTCACCGTCGATGACACTGAGGTCTTCGCGTCTACGAAGCCTTGTGTTGAGGATGAGAGCTCGGAACGCGCCAGACAGCGCGAAATCGCAGCGTGAGATATCACCATGCTTTGTACTACTCCGCCCGTGCCACATTGACATTTGACTCGGTGGAGCATGCCTTGCTAACACGTCTCGTCCCATCTCCAGCTATCTCTCGGCAGCCTCCTTCCCGCTGGAGCTGCCTGTTTGTTTCCAGGAGAAACCTATACTCAACAAGGATCCAATCTTGAACGCTCTCACGCAGCTGGGCGCCCATCGTCTTCACGTCGACCGCGCGTTTATATCCCTTATCGATCGGAAATATCAATATGTTTGCACCGAGATGACGAGATCTCACTCCCTCGTCGACATGGAGTCTGACCAAGGAGACACCGTTGCAATCGGCGTTTGCAAGATTCGGAATTGCGATGGAGTGTGCCCCGCCACGATCAAGGCCTTTATGGACGAGACGGGAGAATGGGTGCGCACCGGGCCTGACGTCGTCGCCAACAGGACTCGCTACATTATCAACAACTTTAAAACGCATCCCGACTATAAGGATCGTCCCTACGTGACAGTAAGATCGGATTCCACTCTTATTAGTTGTTCTCTCGCGGGACCCTCCTTCACGCGTCCCGCGTTATATATGCATTCGCCCTTCATCACGTCGAATTGCTCACTAATTTCTTCAGGCCTATCCCTTTTTCACCTCTTACCTGGAAGTGCCCTTGATTTCTCCCCTTGGCTACGTCCTCGGGAGCTATTGTGTCGTTGATAGGTGCAGTCTTCCTCTCTACGCACAGAAAAATCGCGATTCCTAATTTAGTCTCCCGGTAAAGCAAGCCTAACAACTTCGATAATGACGAGATTGTGAAGGTCATGAACGAGATAGCCTCTGCGATAATGAGCCACCTCGAAAATATGAGATCAAACCAGAGCCGCGGTCGCTCAGAGCAGCTTGTCCAGGCGCTAAGCAGTTTCATAAGACCCGAGCCGCCGGTTCAAGTCCCCAACCCGCCGTCAGCCGGCACCCCAGGGGACAGCATGGAGGGATCCGGTGATCCGATTTCTTCCACCGCAGGACGGGGTCGTGAGCTTCGGGGTTCGATCGCCTCTAGTAAGCTAGATAGAAACGATGATTCTAGCGACGCTCTATCGTCCCACGGCTCAAAAGGTCGACATCTACCCTCCGCCCGGTCGCGGTCTTCGGATCCCTACTCTAGCGACGCTCTATCGTCCCACAACTCAAAAGGTCGACATCTACCCTCCGCCCGGTCGCGGTCTTTGGATCCCCCACAAGGTTGTTCAGAGACCCCTCCTACAACCCCGTCAGACGAGCCAGCCGAAAACCCCACAGAGCAGCAGTTCATCTCGACAAACATTCAGGCAGATGCAAATCCTGCCTCGCCGCGTCCGGCGGGGACCTTTTCTGATAGCTCGGAGCCACGCGGATTCATCAGCTCGGCAAACATTAGGGCAACCTTCTTCAGGGCAGCAGCAACGATTCGTCGATCGATGGATCTCGACGGCCTGATGTTCCTCGATGCCATGCCTAGCTCATACATGAGATCGGACAATTCATCGCCACACCCTGGTGGAACATCAGATGAGGTCGATGGACCCTTCTGCGCGGCGATAGTCAAGGCTGCTTCTGCTCCAGGCGGGGAGACTATTGTGCAGTCCACGCAGGTTCGGCTACCAGAAGCGTCTCTGCAAAGATTCATTCAAGCATACCCGCAAGGCCATGTATTCACTGCGGACGAGCTGGGCCCCATACCCGAGAGTTATGGCGTTGGAAAGCCATTCCAATCCAAGCCCGCAGCAGACTTGGAGAGCTTGGATCTGAGAAACGACGTCACTGCATTGTTTCGTGTCCTTCCTGCCGCCAAATACGTCATCTTTCTCCCCTTTTTCCACTTCCAAAGATCCTGTTGGTATACCTGTGCAATCGGATGGATAGAGGATCCAGCCCGTGCGGTCGGCATCGCAGACATCGGTTTGGTTTCGGCATTTGGCAATTCGGTCATGGCTGAGATTTCGCGCCTAGAAGCAGTGGCTGCTAGTCGCGCCAAGTCCGATTTCGTCTCCTCCCTAAGCCACGAACTTCGAAGTCCCCTTCACGGCATCATGGCAAGCAGCGAGTTGATCCGCGAAGCGATATCAGACCGTTCCATCTTGTCGCTCCTCGACCTGCTTGATTCCTGCTCACAAACGGCCCTTGACACCTTTGAAAATTTGCTCGATCATGCCATTGTGGCCCATGCCGGCCATGGGAGCGCTTTTAACTCTTCTCATATGAGACAAGTTGATCTGGGATCAATGGTTGAAGATGTCGTGGAAGCCGTCAGAGCCGGGCACCTGTCGGGAAATGTATTCCACTCGCAGACATCATCGGGCAGGAAGAGAGGAGCATATCTCACCGGACCCACTGATGCTGCACACGATTTGCCAGATCGTCCGTTGCTCATTACGGTACAGGTTGCAAAATACCCATGGAGATTAACGGTCAATGTCGGTGCTTGGAAGAGGATAGTGATGAACCTATTCGGCAATGCCTTGAAGTACACCAACACCGGCCGTATTGACGTCGGGCTGAACGTTGTGAAGAGGACAGATCGGATGGGCCACCCTCAACCTTACATTTCATTCACGGTAGGGGATACCGGGTCGGGCATGAGTGCGGACTACCTCAAGTATCATCTGTTTACCCCTTTCCTCCAGGAGGATTCACATGCTCCTGGAGTGGGACTTGGGCTTTCGATTGTCCGGAAGCTTGTGAGTGACCTCGGCGGCGTCGTTAACGTCAAGAGTTCCTTGGGTATCGGCACTCTGGTCGAGGTCTTGGTTCCCCTTGGAGAGGCTGTGTCGGACTCTCTCCCCGCCGATGAGCAGCAGTCCTTACACGACCAATTCTCGGGTCTCGATGGCCGAACTGTGTGCCTCGTCGGCCCTGACGCCTTTGCAGCGCTGGCCGATACAGACTTTGAGATCACCAAAGAGGTCCGGAGCTGGTCGGAAATTGTTGAGAACGCTCTCAGAGCCATCGCAGGGTCAGGAATGGAGGTCATACTCGGTACCAAGGATTGTCCGGCACCGAAAGCAGACCTCTATGTCTTAGACTCCAGTTTATTCGGCAGTACGGTCGAAGAGCGTCGCGATATCATCTTGCAGAAATGCCGCGAACGAGCTTCCCCTTTGGTGCTGCTCTGCTCGGGATCAAAAACATCCTCATGCGTGGGGCATGGGATCAAAAGCCACGACATTCATCTGCATCATCCAATCGGCCCGAGGAAGCTGGCCTCGGTTTTCCGATCAGCCCTGGAGGCTAAACCTGTCGGTGGCATGGTTCAAACACGTACTGACGAAAAGAGATACCCTGATGACTCGGCCAAGGATCAGAGTTCATCGCCGCCCCGGACAATAACCCCGAAGGGGCCAGCCCTATTAGCACCCCAACCCCCGCCCCCTGAGTCGTCATCAAAGAACATGAAGAGCGTTACCGAAATTCCAGCATCGACGGGCGCCCAATCAGAAGTGCCATCCACAAAAAGCCGCCACCTTCTGCTTGTTGATGATAATCTGATAAATATCAGTCTGCTCACACGCCTAGTACGGAAGCTGAATCACACCTTTGAAACTGCGAGCAACGGACTGGAAGCAGTACAGCGATATAAAAGCTCACTTGAGGGACAATCCAAGCGCTTCGACATAATCTTCATGGATATCAGTATGCCTGTCATGAACGGATTTGAGGCTACCAGGGAAATTAGACAACTGGAGACCAAGGCGGGGCTGAGCAGGTGCAGGGTCATTGCATTGACCGGTCTGAGCAGTGAAGTCAACCGGAGCGAGGCCAATGCGAGTGGGGTGGACGCTTTTTATACAAAACCTGTCAGGATGGATACAATCAAGAGAATACTGGACGAGGACAGGCCAGAAGCGAGCCCAGGGTAAGGGTCAGCTGTTTCGCGTCTGGAACGTGTTCGATTGGGCTCCTGTGACCATTTGGGAAGGCTGCGACAGCAGAGAATTCGGGGAACTGATGGCCATCGTTCCGCTCCCCAACCGCGGTAGCCTGGATCCTCTTATGACGCTAGCCAAGGAGGAAGATGAGGCGCTGGACTATCAGGATTGTCGACTGAGAAACGAGGCCGGAAGCCAGCAGGATTTCATCAGACATTCACAATCAGAAAGCGACTTCTTTTTGGATACCTACCTTTTGTCGATTTATCAATACCCATATTGTATCCGGTGGCCACGATATGTTTCTAAAAGGGCCAGGGAAAATAAAATAAACCGGTTAAAACGAACAAAAAGGAATGGACAAGAAGGCTACCTTTTATACGGCACAAGTACTGTACAAGCGCATCTCAGTCTAACCCATCCAGCCAACGCTTTAGCTCTCACTGATTACATGCAGCACCAGTTTCTTCCCCCTTGTCCACCATTCCTCCAAGTACGCCCCAACGAGAGGATCGAGACCCCTCTTCCTTGCAGCCTCTAACCACCTCTCCATCGTCCATTCCTCGACGATCTTTCCAATTTGCTCACTCAGGAATGCGGAGAAGTCGTCCGGCGATACATTTTTCTCCCCGCAATAATGCGTAAAGACCACCCCACCTTCCCTCCCCCGAGCCTCGCCTTCCTCTGATGATGACGTGGTCAGCGCGACCGACTCGACCGCGGTCCGACCAATCCGGCCAGCTACCTCCTCCACGCTAGCCAATTGCAATAGCCCCTCGATCCGGCCACCGTCGTGCATCCTCGGCACGGCCGCCATCTCCTTGCCAAACGTCATGAGCGTGCCAACAATGTCCACGGCCGGCGTCTCGCCGCGCAGGGCAAGGGATACGGGCCTGTGGATCTGCACGCGCAGACCGCGCAGCGCCGCCAGCCGCTCGAGCAAAGCCTCCGACACCCATTTGGACGCGAGGTAGCCCTCGTCGTGCGCCGCCGCGGCGGGCGGGTCGCCGAGCAGTGAGACGGGCGGCAGCGGTGTACTGGCGGCAGCGGCGGCGGCGCGTGAAGAGGAGGAAGAGGCGGAGGAGAACTTGGCGACCGACGCGGTGGAGACGAAGTGCACGTGCGCCCCGGCCGCCAGGGCCATCTCGGCCACGGCCCGCGTCGAGAGCACGTTGGGCGCCCTCACCGACGCGTACGTCTTGAGAAAGCTCACGTCGGCGCCGTTGTGGATCAGGAGGTCACACTCCTCCGCGAGGCGGGCGAACGTCTCTTTGGACAGGCCCAAGTACCGGTCGCCCAGGTCGCCGGCGTGTTCCACAACCTTTGGCGATGTGCTGCGCGCGACGTGCCGGGGGTGGCCAGAGACGGGATCGGGCCGGATGGCGACGCAGTGGATGGTGCGCACGCGCGGGTCATCGATGAGCTGCGAGAGCAGGTGTGTGCCCAGAAACCCGGTGGCGCCGGTGAGGAGGACAATCAGGCCGTCTGGTTGTCTTCGTCGGCGAGGGGGTTTCGGGTCGCTACGCTGCGACGAAGGGACGACTACGTCATTGGCGAGCGTTTCCACCTCTTGCGTCCAGTCCATGTTTTCTGCGGAAGAGGGAGCCGCGCGTGCGGCAGGCTCGAGCAACGCTGCCATGCCGCCGAGGGTGCTAGACTGGAAGAGGTCTGGAAGTGGAATGTGCGTACCGAAACTTGCCCGCAGCGCTGCTTGGAGATGCAGGAGAAGCAGGGAGTTGCCTCCAGCCCGGAAAAAGTCTGATTTTGGGCCGAGAATGGGCGGACGGACGGCAGGAGGGAGGACGTGCTCCCAGGCCTGCTTGATTTGCAGCTCGAGCGCTGTCAATTCTTGTCCTTCTTCGGTGTCGATGCCCGCTTTGATCCAATTTTCAGGGACGGGAAGCGTATCGATCCGCCGTCGGTCTCGTTTGCCGTTCTCCGTCCTAGGCAGGTCCTCAACCGGTACGATCAGCGAAGGACGCATGTATATCGGCAGCGGTAGGCGCTTAAGGATGTCTTCTAGTGAGCGTTGCGTCACGACCTGTCCGGTGGCTCGCAGTTTGGGATTAACAAGGACAAAAGCAACGAGCAAATCGCCATCTCGCAACGACACTGCCGCGTCGCTGATCGTATCAGATCCGGCTGTCCTTACAATTGCCGCCGCCACCTCGTCCAGCTCGACTCTCACTCCGCGGATCTGGACCTGGCTGTCTCCCTGGACGCGGCCAAGCGAGTGCATCGTCCCGTCGGGCAAGATGCGCCCCAGATCCCCCGTCCGGTACAATCGACTGTGCTTCAACTGAAATTTTGTTGCAAAATCAGGGCTCGTTAAGAACCGCTCCCTGTCTTCGTCGGGGCGGTTGATGTATCCCTTCGCAACTCCCTCGCCGCCGATGCAGATCTCACCTGGATGTCCCACAGGGACAGGCTGGAGGTGCTCGTCGACAATGACGACGGAGTAATTGGCCATGACACGGCCCATGTGCGGGTCTCCTACCACATCCCCCGGCGTGTTGTAACTGATGGCCCCACGACTGCACGAGATAGTCCCCTCGGCCGGCCCGTACGCATTCACAAGTTGAAGGTGATGCAGCCCCAACGAAACAAACTCGGCGGCGTGGCTTGCAGAAAGCTTCTCTCCGCCGCTGACGGCCAAGCGCCAGGTGGAGCATTCCTTGAGCTTCTCTCGGCCGAAATAAAGCAGCGCCGCATATTCGGACGGCACACCGACGGTATAGGTCACACGCTCAGCCACCATGATGGACGCCACAGCGGCCGGGTCGCCGCGTGCTTCCTCGGGGACTACGATGACGGTGCCCCCGTGGGCGAGGCCGCCGAAAATCTGCTCCATCGAGCAATCGAATCCAAGCGACGACTGTTGAAGTACAGTTTCTCGGCCGATCTCAAGCATGCTGCTGACGGCGAACACCTGGTTGACGAGGTTACGGTGCGTCATAATGACGCCCTTGGGCTTCCCCGTGGAACCGCTGGTGTATATGGCGCAGGCGGGCTCGTCTGGCATAGCTACTATTGCGTCTTCAGAATCCTCTCCGGGTAGCGGGACTCCGGGCTGTGTCGACTGGTCGAGGTCGAGGACCGAAAATTCCGCATGCTTTTTCAGATTGCGGATCAGAGCTGCGTCTTGTTGGCCCTGGTATATCAGCATTCGTGGTTGGCAGTCAGCGACAATGAGTCCCAAGCGCTCTGCCGGATTGCGTCGATCCAAGGGAACGTAAATCGCTCCTAGACGCATAACAGCAAGCATGGCGCACAATGCACCTGCTGAGGGGGCAACGCAGACGCCAACGCGGTGCCCAGCACGCACCCCGTGTCGCTGCAACGATCGGCTGATGCTCTTAACGAGGCGGATCAATGCTGTGTACGTGATTGGCACGCCGGACCCGTCTCTGATGGCCACATCGTTCGCGTACTGGACCGCCACCCCTTCGACTTGATGGACAAGAGTCCCTGCGAGTCCGCTTAGGTCCATTTCTGGGCCGCGACCGAGAGCGATGGCAGCCTGCCGCTCACTATCCTCACCCAAGCCGAGGCTGCGCACCGTTGCCGATATTGCCGCACCCGGGTCGTCGATCACGGCTCTGACTAGACAAACAAACGACTTGGCCAGCATCTGAGCATCAAACTCCGAATACATGTAGCTCTGCACTCCCAGGGCTATCCATACACCACCGTCCTGTCCAATCTCGGTAATGTCCAGATGGATATCGAACGGGTTGCGAGCAACGATCATGTCAGTCCACTCAACATCGCACGCGCCCCACGCCGCACGCGTCGACTCGTGGCCTATGCGATAGTTCATGGCCACCTGAAACAACGGGTGGTGGGCGTCCCTGGGAACGCGGAGGTGGTCAAGCACGGCATCGAAGGGCGTGGTAGAGTGTGCCAGCGCCGAAAAGACAATATCGCGTGTCTGCTTGACCAGCGCGCCGAAGCTGGAATTCCCATCTAGCCGGAAACGCAGCGCGAGCATGTTCAGAAAGTAGCCAATCGTTTCTGTGTTGCCATCGCCGGGGCGGCTCGAATCCACAATTCCGATGCACAAGTCGGAAACGTCGAGCCACCTCGACAGAAAGGCGGCGAGCGATGCGAGATACAGATGAAAGGGCGTGGCGCACAGCTGAGCGCATAGGTCCTTGACACGCCGCGCAAAAGCCGCGTCGAGCCTGATCTCAAAGCTGTGGGATCCATACGCGTCGAGCGGCTGCTTGCGGTACTTCGTCTTGGCGAAGGAGAATAGGGGCAGAGCGGCGGGTCCGTTGTGGTGAACCTCGTGCCAGAACTTGATGTCCTCCTGAAGCGTCTTTGGATTAGCGCAGGCTTCGCGGTGAACCTCAGCAAGGTCGATGGCTTGCACCGACGGCGTAACCAGTTCCCAGGCGTCGCCCGAGTATGCGGCTTGCAGTTGACCAAGAAAAGCCACAAGACTGAGTCCGTCCATCACGATATGGTGGTAGGCGATAATGATGAAATGCTCGGTGGGCGTCTGCGAAAGCACCGTTACCTTGACCGTCTCGCCTTTTTGGAGATTGAACTCGTGCTTGCGCATCCGGTCGAGTTCGGCTTTGAATTCGGCGTCTCCGTCGGGCGCAATAAGGCGGTGTTCCAAAACGGAGTCCAAGTTGGGATTGGATATGACTCCCTGACGACCTGTGCCCGTCGCATCGTCGAGGAAAAAACAGCTGCGGAGCGACTCGTGCATCAACATGACTCTTCGTACGACCTCTCTCAGCTTAATGGCATCGACCGGGCCGTGGATTCTGCCGGCAATTGCACAGTTGTACGTTGATTTGTCGGCGAGGTACCTGTGCAGGAAGAACAAGCGGTCCTGGCCGTGCGAGAGCCTTCCGTCTCGTGTATATCTCTGCGCCGAACATGCTTTTGCAGATGAAAGTTCCGAGTCGGCGGCCTGCAAGTCGATTTTGTCGCCTTCGAGAACACCTGATGTGGTCAGTGATCCAGCCGAGCCAGTGGTGCCGAGTTGCGGAGGTGACGACCCAGAGGAATTCGAATCGGCCGCAGCTGAAGAGACAGGTGATCGGGGCGTTGAGATGCCGCTGTTGGTGTTCTGCTCTGCTTCAGAGTCACGAGTCGTGGTACCGTCTGACTGCATCATGCCTGGCAGCTTGCTGAACAGCTCGGCGCTCAGGTCCCTGACTGACGGGCTCGCCAGGATTCCCAACGCGGGCATGCTGACGCCCAATTCCTCGGCAATCCACGACCGCACCTGGATTGCCACCAATGAATCCATGCCGAGTGACAGGAGCGGTGCCTGTGCATCAAGCGTGCCGGCAGGCATCTGTAGCGCCTTCTCGATCTTTTGCAGCAGGCCCGACTCCAAGATGCGCAGGGCAGCGTTGGCATCATTCCCTGCTCCCGCAAGCTGGGCCTTAACACTAGGCTTCTGAATGTCAGAAGATTTCAGGTTCGAGCTGCCAGAAGCAGCGTCGTCGCTTTTTCGGATCATGTAGTGTGACATCCTCGGTTGGTCGAACCAGCCTGGCCTCAAGTGCGCCTTGTCCGGGCGAGAGACGTCCCAGAAACCGATGCCCGTCATGAGGTCGGCTTCCTGCTCAAAATCTCTCGAGCCAGCATAGATTGCTTCAGCGAACATCTCATGCAAGTCTGACTCGGACAGCGGCTTCGTGTTGTGCTTGCGAGCGAGCTCGGTGGCCTCGTGTGGGTTGGACGAGTGTGTAAGGTAGCCGACGTCGGCAAGGGCACCGATGTCAATGACGGATGCCGCTTTTCCTGCACGCCTCCTCTGCTGGGCCAAGCCGCACATGAAGAGGTTTGCCGCGCCGTAGTTGGCCAGGCCCGGGATGCCCAGCACGCTTGATGCCGAGGAGAGAAAGACAAAGAAGTCGAGGTCGTCCTGGCTGCCAAAAACCGCTTCCAAGTTGAGAGATCCTTGCACCTTGGGGCGGAGAACGGCCTCGAAGTCTTCAATCGACATGTTTTCAAACGCCTTGTCGCGGAGAACCATGGCGCCGTTGACCACTCCTCCGACTGGGGGCATGGCGGGTCCGTGCTCAGGGGCTGTGAGACTGCGGCGGGCAGCAGCGAGGCTCTCGCAGTCGGATAGGTCCGCAGAGAGTATCCGGAGGGTGGCTCCTTTGCGGGCAAGTCTCTCGACAGCCTCGGCACTGATCAACGGATTGCGGCTTGCTACGGCAAAGTACCGTGCCCCGTTATCTGCCATCCAGTTGCAGAGCGAAAGCCCTACGGAACCCGTCAGGCCGGCTAAAAAGTACGTTTTATCGGCCGACAATAAAAGCCGGGCGTCGAGCGGCCGAACCATGGCCGGGATAGCATGCTCAGGATTCCAGTCTACGACGTCTGCCACGTCGGGGATGCCAGCAGCAGAATCAACAGCCGCAGCGGCCAACACCCGGGACCTACTTCTCCCGCTGTTTGCTGTAACCGGTTTCCTCGTTGCATTGAGCTGGTCCCAAATGGCGCGGAGCAGGCGTGTCTGGGTGTAGGCCAGCTCAACCACCCATTGTGTTCGCTCCCCGTCCGAGTTGTCAACATGGCGCGGCAGTTCCAAAATGATTGCCTTACTGCCGACTGCTGTGCGGATCAAGTCATCCAAAGCCGTGCCCTTACTCTCAGCGCTGCTCACGTTGGCATAGATGCTGACCCCTCGAGGAGCTATCAGCTCGAGCCTTCGGGCTGTGGTCTGGGGATGGATGAATGCGTGGTTGGCCGGTAGCTCGATAGGATCCTCGGAGCTGCTGAAATAGACGCTGACTCCATCCCGCTTCGCCACGTCGGTCAATATCTCGGTGAGCGATCTATCCGCTCCATGAACCCATATGCACCCACGGGCCTCGCTGACGAGGTGTTCGGCGATGATGCGCTTGGGAAGAAGCTGAAAGGTTTCTGCATCCAGCTCCCGGTCCGTATCGATGGTCCAGAAAGCGGCGAGCGGAACTTCAATGATGGAGGCATTAATAGAGGACAAAGCGACAACTTGTCGGCCCGACTTTTGCTCTGTCCCAAAACACAGATACAGCGGTTCAGCTGCGTCTTTTGTCTTGAAACCACAAACCGAGGATAGTCTGACGGCTATCCTGTGGCGTCCACGATCTGCACGCGGAGAAAGCAGCCCAGGCATCTGGTGAACTGTGAATGAGCCGTTGCGGGCTGGCACCAATCGTAACGGATATTTCCCGGTCGACGGTCGGACATTGTCAACGATGGTCCTCGCTCTTGAATTCAGACGATTGTTGAGTTCGTTGTGAGGCTTGATTCTCGGCAACAGCTCGTTCCAGTGGCGATCTGCTGCCACTTCCGTCTCCCTACTCCACAAGACCTCCTTGCATTCGGGTCGGCCGAGGTACACCAGGCGCAAAAAGGAACGTGCAACCCGCCGGGCGCCCACCGAATCCATCTCAAACTCCTCGCAGTCGACAAATTGCATCGGCCGTCCGGGCAGCTCCAACATCACGCATCGCGCAATGCCAAGGACCATACTGGTATGTGGCTCAGTGCCGCTGAGACGACCTTTGGTCAGCCACAGGACGTGGGTGGATTTGCACAGGATGTTTTGAAGCGCCGATAGAGTTCGTTGGGACACGTTTCGCAGCACTGGCTCTACCAGCTCCGCCAAGCATATAACTGCGGAATCGGGATGGAATTGGTCGTAGGCATGGTCAACGCTCTGCAGCACGCTCACCTTCTCGGCGAAGGGACAGACAAGATTTGCAACATTCTTGGCAAGCGACATAGCGGTCGGCTGCGTGCTGCCAATGACGACGATGCTTCGGAGCTTGGTGATGGTGATACCAGGCGTGGTGTTGAGTGGTTCACGGAGAAACGCGACGTGGTCATCTATTGCCTGGCTCACCATCACGGAATATGTATGGTAGCGGGGGTGCTCTGCGACGTCGCGAGCGACCACATCCACCCCGGAGAAACCGGCTTGCAATAGCAGCTCATGCCAGCGTGCCTGGTCGATAAGGGGGGTGAGTTTGCGCCCCTCGTCTGCGCCAAGCCACCAGCCAGGCAACATGCCAAAGATGAATTCCGTCGAAAGAGAACTGGCCGTGTTCTCCAGAAGCAGCAGATAGCCTCCTGGGCGGAGCAGCCGTCTGCAGTTGCGCAACGTTTCGACCATCTTGGGCGTTGCGTGGAGCACGTTGGATGCGACGATCAAATCGTATGCGCCAGCCTCGAAGCCCTGTTCGCCGACGGGATCGCGCGAAATATCCAGGGTCCTAAACGCTAGCCTCGCAGCATGGGTCCCGAGGGCACGGCGCGTCTTTTCAAAAAACCCCGACGAAATGTCGGTGAAGGTGTAGGAAGCAAACTTGTCGGCGATGCTGGGCAAGATGGCAAGAGTCGCATTGCCCGTACCCCCACCAATTTCGATTACGTTGAGGTCAGGATAGCGATGGGTGATTTGCGCCGCAGCGGCAGCGACGCACCGGTTGGCTCTCTCGAGCCCGAGTGCTCGGTGATAGTAGTCCGAGAGCATGTCGTCCTGCATCAGGACCTGGAGAGCAGGGACGTGATCCCTCAGGATATTTGGTAGCTCTTCGCCCAAATTGATGACCACCTTTAGGTCGATAAGGCTTGGGAACCGTTGACTCCATCGCTGCAAATCCTCACGCGTGTCGCTAGCCCACTCCTTGCGGACTTGAACTCTGGGGTCTTGTCCGGCCTCGATCCTGGCTAGAGTGTGATTGACGGCCCAGGTCCAGAAAGCGGTCAAGTGTGCGCGTGACTGATGGTTATGGTTGTTGTGAGGGATATCCTCCGGAGCAAAGTGGTCTCGTAGCTTGCGGAGATAAAAGTACACAGCCCTCGTCACTAGATCCGTCTTCTCCATATGCTCCGCCAGGTTGAAGTTGTCGGGCTCGCCATCCAGGCAGGCTATGTCGACACCAGACGAAATGTCCCTGCTCCAGACCGCTCGAGAGAAGATGATCCTGTCATCCCGCTCGGTGAAGGCACCAAAAGGGGAGCACGTTAACCCTTCAATCTGAATCTCGGGGTATTCATCCGTTCCGCCGAAAACATCAATGTCGGCCTTGATTTCGGTCGGCGACCTGCGTAGGAAATGGCAGTCGGCAGTCAACTCAGAGCAACCACGGTCGGCAGTCCTCTGCGAAACAAGGGATCCTCCACCAGAAACATGCAGCAGGCGGGTGACATCAATTCGGACACGTGCAATCGCGGAGGGGAGGTACGTGACGGCAGACATCCCCTCTTGGTGGGCCGACAGAATCGCGAGCAGGCCATGGGAAGCCACATCCAGCATTGCCGGGTGTAGGTACAGCCCGTCTGCCCGTGGCCGGTTGAAGCGGACTGTTGAGAAACCATTTGTCCTCTCAATCTGGGCTGCCACAAAGTCTGCGGTATATTCCAAGCCCGTGTGCGAAGCGAGAGACGAGTAAAAGTCGGAGACCCTGACCGGGCTCGTCGGGGCACGATTGTGGGCCATCCGCGGTGGCAGAACGGCAGTGGGAGGGCCAGAACGGACGGAATACCCAGACGCCAGCGCCAGTTTTCCCCGGCAACTAAAGTTGAGATGGGCAGGGTCAAGCTGCGCATCCGCCTTGGCGTCCACTTGGGCGCTGCAGATGTTGAAATCAATGTCGATTTGCTGCTCGCCGCGCTTGGAAACGGTCAAGGTGCAGAACACGTCGGTGCCAGAGAACTCGTCGTCTCCTTGGAGAGCAAGACCGCGGTGGATGACGAGCTGTTCGAGCTCGATCATTTGTACTGCAGTGTTTTCTGCAAAGGCGAGACAAGCCTCAACCGCCATGCTAACATATCCCTGGGCCGGGAAAAGAACCTGACCCTGGAATTTGTGTCCTTTGAGCCATGCCAACTCGCTCAGCTTGAAAATGTTGCGCCACCGGAGCTCGGCTGGCTGGGTGTTGAGGAGACGGTTCCCAAGAAGCGGGTGCGGGCGGATGTTGCGGGTGCGGAAGTAATTGGAGCGGCGAGATTCCATCCACAGCGGCCGCTCGTGATCCCACGAATAGGTCGGCAAGTCCTTGCACAAGCGAGGTTTCGGGGACTGGTCCTGATTCCCGAGGCAGGCCGACCTGAAGCATTCAAAATCCACAAGCCGTCCCGACCCCCCGTAAAACTGGGTCCAGACGAAGCCTAGGGCGGTGCACATGGCTTCCATGTCGTCCATACCCCTTCGCAGAACGCCAGAGTAGGCGACCTCGAGACCCATGGCCCGTACCGTGTCGGTGGCCGGCCGCTGCAAGGCGGGGTGCGGGCCGACCTCCAGCGCAACGACAGTCTCTGGCGATGACCGGGATGTGCTATCCAACAAGGCCGCTTCCAAGCTCTGCGAGAACAGCACCGGGTTCGTCATGTTATCGATCCAATAGTTGCAACTAAGCGAATTGCGATCGACAGCCGCCCCCGGATGCACGCTGGAATACCAGGCACAAGAGCCCTGTCCCTTTTCTGCCGGATCCAAAGGTACAATTGCACATCTCTCCAAGCTCTCTCTGTATTCAGGGCTGCAACGAACCATATGGTGTGAGTGATACGCGGTGTCGACTTTGAGAGCCCTTGCAAAGACGCCTTCTTCATCCACCAGGACGCGCAGGGCCTCGTCCACGGCATCGGCATCGCCCGACAGGGTAACGCTAGACGGTGAGTTGCACGCAGCAACGGCGAGTCGGCCCTCGAACCGGCGCCGGGCGCAAAAGAGCTCTGCCTCTCGCAGCGTCATGTCAGCCGCCAGCATCCTGCCGGAGCCCGCGGCACGGAGAGCGGCCAATCCGCGATAGTAGGCGATGCAAATTGCGTCTCGGGCGGTTAGGTAGCCGGCCGCATAGGCAGCAGCGATTTCTCCTGACGAGTGGCCGACGACCCTGGTGAACCGGATCCCAGCAGCAGACAGCAAATCCACAAGTGCGATCTGGACCGCGGTGCAAATGGGCTGGGAAATGGCGGCTTCGTGGATGCGAGACGTCTCGGCCCGGGCTCGGAGTTCCATTTTCAGAGACCACGACGGCGCATCGGGGAGCGAGGCAAGAGCGTCTTCGAGCGACTCGATGGTTTGGTGGAAACGCCGCGACTTATCAAGCAGTCCCGACGCCATACGAGGCCATTGTGCACCCTGGCCCGTGAAGACGGCGAGAATAGGAGGTTGCCGCGTTTGTGGTGGGAGAGGCCGGCTTCGGGCAAGCTGAAGGCTGGAGGCGTTGTCGGCTCGGTTGCCGGCGAGCCAGTCGCTGAGCTGCCGGCTGAGTTGTTCTTGTGTGCTACAGGCAGCAAAGCTGGCCTTGAACGGGAACTCGGACCGCCGCACCTGGAGCGTCCAGACAAGATCGGCGAGGTTTATCGTCTTTGTCTGCAGGGCCTGAGAAAGCGAGGCCACTGCCGAGACAAGAGAGTGGGCAGAATTGGCCGAGATCACCACTGGGCCGCACGGCTCCAGATGGCTGCTTTCCTTCTCGGTCTCGGTCTGATAACCCTCGACGATGACGTGGCAGTTAGTCCCGCCGAAGCCGAAGCTGTTGACGCTGACACGCCGGGGGACGTGCTTCGGCAGGGCCGGCCATTGCTGTGGCGTTGTGGGAATGTACAAAGACCCATAGAAGGGCTGGACGGCAGGGTTGAGGCACTGGAAGTGCATATTGGGTGGGATGATGCCGTGTTGGATGGCCAAGGCCGCTTTGAGCAGACCAGCTAGTCCCGCTGTTCCCTCTGTGTGTCCAATGATGGTTTTGATAGAGCCCACGGGGAGGGGATCTGTAAGGCTGGCGTCACGGCCGTCTTGTTGTACTCTGTCGGTAGGGAAAAATACTGACTGCACGGCTTGCGCTTCGACCGGGTCACCGGCTGGCGTACCCGTGCCGTGAGCCTCGAAATACTGGGGGCGGCCTTCGGGGGCAAGGGGGTTGAGGCCGCACCGGGAATATGTCGACCGGATCAAATCCGCCTGTGCAGTCGCGCTGGGCATGGTGATGCCGTTGGTGCGGCCGTCTTGGTTAACGCCGGTTTCTCGTATCACACACTCGATCGAGTCGCCGTCCTTCAACGCCTGTGAAAGTGGCTTGAGAATCACAGCGGCGATGCCTTCTCCTCTAGCATAGCCGTCGGCGCTGGCGTCCCACATGGCACACCGGCCTCGCGAGGACAACATTCCAAGCTAGACGTCTTGGGCGTCAACATGGAAAAGCTCCCTACTTCCGTGGCATCAAGGGAACCGGACCGAATGAGACCTACCTTCGACTCAAATATGAACTGCTCAGGGCCTAACAGGAGGTTGACGCCGGCGGCGACCGCGACGGACGACTGGCCACTCCTAAGAGCCTGCACGGCGAGGTGCACGGCAACCAGACTGGACGAGCAGGCCGTGTCAATGGTTATGGACGGGCCTTTCCAGTCAAAAAAGTACGACACACGGTTGGACATGATGCTTCGCGCCGTGCCTGTAGCCGTGTAGCGCGGTGCGCTATCCACATCGCGCAGCACAACATCGTAAAAGTCGCCATTCAGCTGGCCAACGTAGACGGCCGTTGATGAGCCACGGAGCTGCTGGATCGAGTAGCCCGCCGATTCAAGGCCCTCAAACACAACCTCGAGCAGGATACGTTGCTGCGGATCCATGGATTCGGCCTCTTCGGCCCGGATCCCAAAGAAGGCATTGTCAAAACGACGGATGTCCTCTTGAAGCATGTATGCCTTGTCGGCGTTGGTGCTCTTTTGTGCGAAGAGTTAGTGGTGCAAGAATACCAGACACTAGGTACCGTTACTTTGGACATGACTAACACCGTGGTGGCGTCCATCCTGGTGATGGAATCCGTCCGGATTAAAGCGGGAAGCTGGAATCCGGGCCAGGACATCACGGGGATTGATCAGCAGGTCCCAGAGCCTCGACGGCGAAGTTGCTCCTCCGGGGAAGCGGCAGGCGGAGCCGATAATGGCGACGGGCTCGGAGATGGGTCCTAGCATCTTGCGGTGTTTGGAAGCCGTCGGATGCGCGAATGGCTGAATCTCGATGCACATGCGGCGATCGGTGAGAAGTGGGGACGTTACCGGAACGATGGGTTGCCCAGTTCGGCCCCTGGCCGTCGTCAGACATCAGGTTGATATGTAAATACATGCTGACGCAATGCTACCGACGATCATCTACGCCCATGTCTTGTTCGGCAGGGTTGATACCACCTGTCATCCCGAAACGGAGCGTGCACCTAGAGGAATATGTGATGGGAGGAGCACGGATGTGTGTGATGAGGAGGCGAAGCCCAGGCAACAACACGGTGGGTCGGTATGGAATTGGGAATCGAAGAGACCGAAGATGGCGAGCCAGTCATGGTGGCACTTTGAGCGGGCAGTAAGCAAATGACACATGGATGATACCAGGGCCGTAGCCGAGGGCGGACCAGGGACGGCTGGAAGCTGACCAGAGAATCGAACATATGAACCCTGTGTGCCCAGCTTGCCGCCGGGTAGCGAGTCGGTGACAACAGCCAATCTTGCGGTCTCCTTGACCACAATCGTGGGGAAACGTCCTACCAGCAACTTCCTATCATCCACCGATTTCCAAGCCAATAAGACGGCATGAAGAACTTGGCGCCCCAGTTCTCAGAGTTCTTCCGGTTCGAGCTACTGCGGGTGCTCGGCACGGCGCCGGTGCAAGGGTGTGATGTTGCCGAGTGGGTGGAGGCGAGTGAGAAAATCAAGCAAGACGATGCCGAGAGCTGGTACATGGCGTGGACCGAGGCAGCCGAAAAAGCCGAGGCGGCAGCGGACGAGGCGCTCCGGGCCGGCGACCAACAGGGGGCGTGCTGGGCGTTTTTGCGAGCCACCAACTACCGGCGGGCCAGCGAGTTCATGCTCCACATACAGCCCAATGACCCGCGCCTCCTCGAATCTCTGCTCAAGTCGTCAGACAACTTCAAGCGAGCATGCTCCCTGCTCGACAGCGCCGTCGAGGTGCTGCAGATACCATACGAGGACACGACGCTGCCGGGGTACCTGTTCCTGCCAACAAGCGGCAGCACTGCTGCTGCTGGGTCCGCGTTGCACCAGCGGGCCATGACGCCGCTCCTGGTGGCGACGGGGGGGTACGATTCAACGGTGGAGGAGCTCTTCTTCGGCATGGCGAGTGGGGCACGCGTGCGCGGATACGCCTGTTTGGTCTTTGAAGGGCCAGGCCAGGGAATCGTGGCGCGGCGCATGCAAGGGCGCAAGCACCTCAGGCCGGATTGGGAGGTGGTGATTGGGGCCGTTCTCGACCACGCCGTACGGTTGAACCGCGAGAAGCCCCATCTTGGGCTCGACATGTCGCGCATCGCCCTGGTAGGTGCGTCGATGGGAGGCTACTTTGCCCTGCGGGGCGCAAGCGACGCTCGGGTGGGGGCCGTCATCTCGATCGACGGCTTTTACAATCTGGGCGACATGATGGCGTCGCGCATGCCACGCATGCTGTGGCCCAACCGCATCGGGGACTCGGCATTCAACTGGCTGTTGAATGCGGCGCAGCGCTGGCACTTTCAGACTCGCTTCGAGTTCCAGCACGCCATGCTGGCCACGGGTGCCGACACGCCGGCCGAGGTGTATCGGCAGCTGGCTCGCTACCGCTTGTGCGACCAGGATACTGACGGCTCGGACCTGCTCGACCGCGTGAAGTGCCCTGCCCTCATCACGGGGGCGCGCGATACGCTGTACTGGTCGCTGGAAGAGAGTACCTACCGCATTTTCGGCGCCCTCTCGCAGTTGGACGAGGCCAAGGACAAGCAGCTCTGGATTCCTGCCGGCTGGGGGCAGGGATCACTTCAGGCCAAGGTCGGAGCCTTCTCGCACCTCCATTGCAAGATGTTTTCGTGGTTGAATCACGTTTTCGGCATTTAGTCGTAATTAGTCCAATCTGAATCTGAATCTGGAACTTCAATGGGAGCGGGAATGACACCTTGTGTACGTACGCGGCGAGACTCTGGCCGTTATCTGTTTCCAATGCGGGACCAGGTGGCAGGTGCGGAAGCGACAATCGCTGTTCAGTGTCCCAGCAGCTGATTGAGAAATGAAGGAGAGGTTGAGGTTGCATAGGAGGACCTGATCTTGGTTGGCCAAGAAATCTGGCCAAATACCTTAATTACTGTACTGTATTGTACGGTGCATACTGGGGGCGGGGTTACGGAGTTGCTGGTAACGTTAATACGGTACGGAGTACAATAGGATGTACTGTATCTATGTACAGTACATGCCTTACTTGTAGCGCCTCCAGTAAGCCACTTTCAGCCAAGCCCACACCCTGGCTTGGCTCGGCTTACATTGCATAACGGCAGTTTGGCTTGGCTTGCAAGCGCTCGGCTTACTGGAGGCGCTGGACGGAGCATCAGGCCGAGTCCTTCATTGTCTTTGCATCTGCCGTGTAACAGATTCGTTGTTGTGATTATTGTATGTGTATACAGTACAGTGCCCAGACTCCGAAACGCCACCTCGAGCTCCTCAAGCAATCCCCCGGACTGACTCGGACTCGGGGTATGTAGACCCGGCCGACGCCGCACGGGTACCTGTGTCTGTACTGTACAACAATAAAGGCGAGATGGGGGCGTAAAATGCGTATATGGGCAAGTAAGAGTCAATCAATATTGCACGCTGATTACACGGCATTATACACACTCAGTATTGTACGGTAGTAACTGTACAACACAGTACAGCACAATCAGAAGACTGTGTATGTTCCTGTATTGTACAGTACAAGTACGGTATCTTGGGCATTACGAGACTACTAAGGTACGTATTAAATTTGCACGTACAGTACGCACGAAGTACAGTACTGTAGTGTGCCGCGCTTTCCACCCTTGAGCGCGAAGCGTAGAAATGCATACAACACATGTGTGGCATGTGCCAACGATGCCCTGCCTACCAGGCGAGCAAGCCTACCAACCTGCCGCCCGTTGGAACTAGATGAGCCCACCGGGCAGGTAGTAGGTATGTTTCACCCTCTGCCCTTCCAGGCTCTACCGCTTCCATGGCGACGTGGGCTTTCGACCTTTCCAAGCCGACAATAAACATAGACAATAGATGGCGTTTCTAGGTACTTAGTCTCTCTAGTCTCTACAGCCCGTGGCGCCCGCAAATTCACATTCACAATCAACTGTGTTAGCAGCCCAAGTTTTCCACCCTTGTTAAGTTGTTCTTCCTTCCTCTTCGCCGCCCAACACGATGGGATTGACGACAGAGCCCGTGGTTTCGGAACAGCAGAGCGTGCAGCCTGAGAGCAATCAAGATGATTCCATTCCGCAGAAAGCCAAATATGGCTGGCGGTTTTGGGTGAGTTACTAGCCGGCATTATCAATCATCAAGTGGCTTGCGTCCTTAGTCCTGTCAGACCCCGAGTCAGCCGTTGACCAAGAGCCTTTGGGCGAGTCGGGCGACAAGGCCATTCTTGTGGCCCTGTCCTTCACCTCGATCCTTGCAGGCCTCGAGATAGGGTGCATCGCGACAGCCATGCCGACCATGGTGAAGGAGCTGGGTTCCGGGGACAGCAGCGATGCCATCTACGTCTGGGTTGCCAATGCCTACTTCCTCACCATGACCGCATTCCAGGTAAGTAGTACTTACTACTTCCGTCTTAGTACTAGTATGTATATACTTTACGTCTGAAAGCTAACCCCTGTTTCCCAACTTCTCCCAGCCCTTGTACGGTCAGGCGTCCAATATTTTTGGTCGCCGCACCATGACAGTGCTCTCAGTCCTGCTCTTTGCCGTGGGCTCGGCCGTGTCGGGCGCTGCCACGAGCATGGCCATGCTGGTCGCCGGTCGAGCCGTCATGGGTACCGGGGGCGGCGGCATCCTGGTCATGATCGAGATCATCATCTGCGATTTGTGCCCGCTGCGCGACCGGCCCAAGTATCTCGGCATGGTCATGAGCTTCTTCGGAGTTGCCATGTGTGTCGGCCCGCTCATAGGGGGCGGCCTCGCCGAACACGCGAGCTGGCGGTGGATTTTCTATCTGAACCTCCCCGTCGCGGCCGTGTCGCTGGTGCCGCTGCTCCTGTTCCTCCGCGTCCGATACCAGCGGGACTCGATCGGGCGCATGCTGGCCCGTGTCGACTGGGGCGGAAACGCCCTCTTCGCTGCGTCCGTCACGGCCATCCTCCTCGCCCTGACCTGGGCGGGCACTGAGCAGCCGTGGTCGTCTTGGAGGACGCTGGTGCCGTTGCTCCTCGGCGCACTCGGCCTGGCCGTGTTCCTGGCCATCGAATCGACCGGTTTTATTGCCCAGCCGACCATGCCCCTACGATTGTTCGCCCACCGTACCTCGCTCGGCGCCTTTGGCCTCACCTTTGTCGCCAGCATTCTCACATACTGGATGAGCTACTGGTTACCCGTGTATTTCCAAGCTGTCAGAGAGGCATCGCCCACGCAGTCTGGCGTCGATACGCTTCCAGTGTCCATGATCATGATACCCTTTTCCATCGTGGCTGGCGGGGGCGTCACAGCAATGGGCCGTTTTCGACCCTTTCAACTGGCGGGCATCTCGCTCCTGACAATCTCAATGGGGCTGTTTTCGATGCTCGACATTGATTCGTCAACGGGCTATTGGGTTGGCTTTCAAGTCGTGTGCGCAGCGGGAGCCGGCATGCTCCTTACCTGCACCTTACCGGCCGTCCAAGCGCCCCTCCCAGAGGCCGACACGGCCATTGCCACGGCCACTTGGGGTTTCCTCCGCAGTTTTGGTGGCATCTGGGGTATCGCTATTCCTACTTCCATCTTCAACACCCATGTCAATTCCCTCCTCGACGCGGGCCGCGTGAGTGACAGCGAGCTGGCCGACGCCTTGCGCGATGGCGGTGCCTATGCCCTAGCCTCCATGGGCTTTATTCAGGCACTTCCCGAGGACCTGAAGCACCAAGTCAAAACAGTCTATGTTGATAGTCTCCGCCTGGTCTGGCAGGTTGCCATTGGGTTTGGCCTGCTCGGCTTTTTGGTCGCCTTGGTGATCAAGGAGGTGAAAATGCGCGAAGACCTCAAAACCGAGTTTGGCCTGATTGACGACAACAATATACCCAGCCCGGCTGATGGTCCGGCAGCTGCTGCCCCGGCGATCCACGGTTCAGAAGCCCCTGAGAAAGATCGAGACGTGGAGCGGGACCCGTGAACAAGGGGGCGGGGAGGAGTTCTGCAAGGGTAAGCCCAACAGGCAAGCGTTGGTTCCGACCTGCCGATTTCTCAGTGTGATGTTGATCGGTTGTCGGCTTCTTCGGGAATCTGTACTCTAAGGTATCTACCTAAGTACTACACTTACGCATGTACTATGTACTAGACGTACTTACCTAGGTAGGTACCTGGGTACGTAGTAAGCAGCTGGAATACCAGCAGTGGTGTGTAAGGTAAACCAGTATTGTACTGTACTTACATACAAGTACAACTGGAATGCTACGATATCTGCGAGGCCGCGGCGTCCCACCCCGCCAACCGTGAAGGATTCGGAATGACTACCTCTCAGATAGTTATTAGTGTGTACGCTCACTTACCTTAGTACCTAGGTACCTTAGCTAATTACAGTAGGCATCAATGATGTTCCTGTTCCCAACGGAGAGTGAAACTGGTGAAAGTCCACACACAGCTCCCTGAGGATCCCCCACATGTTGGTTGCTTAATATACCGGGAGCCCAGAAAGGCAGGTGACAGCCCGCCACCACACGTGCATGCAGGTTTGAGGTTAAGGCGGCCTGTTGGCGCACTAACTAGTAGGATTGCTCCTGCCTAGGCAGAGCCCGCATCATTCATCAATTCAAGTCTAAAATGAGGCACGGACTTTGCTCCAATGTTGGGGATAAAATCACCAGCAAATTCAGAGCGTGGTTCACTTCGCCGGCCCTCAGCGCATCGTGATCTTAGAGTCACAACTTGAACAGTGACAACACGACGGAGAGTCACAACTGGAACACGACCAAGACACATTACCTACCTTGGACTGTCTTGCTTCCAAGCTCGCTGGCGCAGCATGGCCGACTCTCCCCAGCTTCTCAAGTTCGATGTCTGTATTTTCAAAAAAGATGACGTTCCGTTCGAAGACTTCGCAAGATGGGTAAAAGAAGAATATCCCCCCAAGGCAGTTCCAATTATGAAGAAACACGGTATCGTCCAGTGGGCGCAGGTAAGAATACGCCGCTCATTGTTTGCGCATGATTTTCTCTTCACCACCCCTTCGCCGTCCCCAAGCTACTATTAGTGCAATACCTACATACCTCTACATACCTACATGTACAACCTGGAGTAGCGGGATCTGAATGAGCCGAGCACCAGACACACACAGCCTGCCAGTACCACTCTACTGACCATTTCACTCAGACCATAACCCCACCCCAGCTCCGCGGGGCATACCAGCAGGTACTCAACAGTTTGGGGCGCTCGGAATGGAGCGTTCCAAACTACGACCTGGTCCTGTCATACTGGCTGCGCGACCCAGAGGACATGAAGCGGCTGACGCAGGATCCCGAGTGGATCGAGCTCGAGAAGGATGCCCAGTCGAGGGCCAACTTTTCCATTGGCCACTTTGTCGCCGGCTACGAGACGGTCCATCTGGCGGCACTTGAAGCCCGTGGACCAGCAGCCGTCTAAGGTAACCACGTGTGTTGACTGGCCGGCTTAAGGTAAAGGTTCAGATGACGAGGGTGACTAGCGACTTGGTTATTCAGTACTGTAGTGTCTGATAGCAGTAGTATGTACTACTAGCAGCAGCTGTAGCAATGTTGAATCAGGAAGCAGTTGGAGCCGAAGTGTTTCTACCTGTATGTACCTACCTACATACATGTACCTACTGGGGTGCATCATGTGTACGTATCGATGTACATAGTTAAGGTACGCTAGGTACTACTAGTAGTAGGGTATGGAGATCGTTTGTGACATACTAGTACTGGTAGTAGTAGGAGTAGTATCCCGGCCCCTTCTGAGATCAGAGGCAAGGGCAATCAAATTCACAAGGGTGTTCCCGGCCAGATCTCGGCACATGTGTCCGTTGGCTCCCGCCGTGCCGCTTGTCACTCCGTGACGCCAATCACAGAGCAAAGTTCCCGATCCAACGGCCAATCGTTTGTTTGAAGGATCTTTGACTAAGGTACCTACACATAAAAACCTACCAGGTACTTACTACTACTTCGAACGCCAGAGGCCGTCGTGCACTTTGGACCAAGGCTCAATGATTACGGCAGACTTCCATATAGTCGGCAAGATTCGAGGCCGAGTGCCAACTCGATGTCAAAGAATGCAGCTGGATCGCAGACCGAGATGCTGACAGGCTGCCAGCCCGTGTCAACCAAAATTGAAACCTGCCATTTGCACCGTCCTCGGCCGCTTACCTCAGGCTGTATTCTGATGCCTGTGCCTCTGAGCAGCGCTTAAATGCTACGCACGGGCGGAGATGTATCCCGACTGGACATAGTCATAACCTGTGCAACTCGAGTCGGGACTTGAATCCTCCTGCTGAGACTCCGGTCGGTTGATGGCGGTGCCCTCGTAGACGCTCTTGTCTATATGATTGGCACCTTTATGGCCCATGGGAGTCATGGCATGATGGCAACGTCCCTATTCATCACCATCCAAAATTGCCTATGGATGCCCGGTTCAGCTGTGAATGTAAAGTACCTTACCCACCTACCTACCTACTACTTTCGGGGCTGTATCGTACGGGACAATACGACACCCGTTGGTGGGTAGTGCTTCCGGAGCCGATACCACTTACTTGTAGGTAGCTACCTAAGGTACCTATGATGGATGATGGGTCCCACCCCTCCGCCATCGTCTCGCATCCATGAATCTCTCCTGTGGCGTTGAAAGCGGCGCAGCCCAGAAAACCACGGGATTGAGACACTGGAGGCTTCCATACCCAGCAAGATCGTGGCCAATCCAGAGCCGTATCCTTCATGTTATCTGTGAGGTGTCGGAAAAGGGGAAGTCCTGGCTACTTTAGTACCTACCGAGTCAAGTACATACATTATTACCATGAACTAGCAGTGGTTTCCGATCGTCGCTTACAAGATGCCATGATGGACTGAGCAACCTTACCTAACCTGAGGTATCCACGACGGCGCTGAGGACCTGCGGAGCGAACTTAACAACTTAACTTCATCAGTGCACAGTCGGGTGCCGACGCAAACTCGGCTGTTCCAGTTCCACCCTGAAAGTCTTTTTGCATCTACATATCCCAGAGTTTGCGATGCGGCTACATAAGCTACCTTTGGTGCTTGCCGCTGCTCTCCTTTTCCTAGCCGAGGGCATTGCCGCCCAAGGACAAGGAGAGCAAAACCAGAACCCTTTGGCCATCTACCCTGTCTGCGCTGTGAGTATATGTCAACTTGAAATCAAATTCCGAACTGGAACTGCTGGAGCGATGACGGCGTGACACTAACTTCAGTTGGGCCGACATGGCAGCAAAACTGCATTATCGGGGCCTTTACCAACACCACCTTTTGTCCAAACCCCTTGGACCAAACATGTACCTGTGAGAATGCGGGATTCAACGAGTTTATGACAAACTGCGTGTTGCAGGCTTGCTCCCTGAGAGAAGCCCTCAGTAAGTTCAAGCTTCCCCGTTGAACGTCCATGTGAAACTAGGCTTGAACAAGGGCCATCATGATCATGATCAAGTCATGTTCTCACACAAGGCGCTCACTCTATGAACAACAGCCACGCACAACATCTCAAGCATTGGGTGCGGACGTCAACCGAACGACCGGTCCCATGACATGATGCGCGAGACCATCGCAATGCTGACTACCTCATGTGTGGTTGTCGCGGCGCGCATCATCTTCAAGCTCTTCGCCCGCGGCCAGACGATTTGGTACGATGACTACGCCATTGTATTCCTGCTGCTGTTTGGCGGCATCCCCAGCATGTGCATTACCGTGGCCGTGCTCGCCCCGGCCGGCCTCGGGCGTGACATATGGTCGCTGCCGTTTGAAAACATCGACACCATCTTCCGCTGGGCCTTCATCTCGGGCGTTCTGTACTTCCCCCAGGTGGCCATGCTCAAGCTCACCTTCCTCTTCTTTTACCTGCGCATCTTCCCCAGCCGCCGGACCAAGCAGCTCATCTGGGCCACCATCGTCTTCTGCTGCTTGTTCGGATTTGTCTTCTTCTTTGTCGCCATTTTCACCTGCGCGCCCATCGAATACTGGTGGGTCTGGGACGGTTCCCCGGGCGGCCAGTGTCTCAGCAAGGACGGTATTCAATGGAGCAGTGCCATCATCAGCATCGTGGTCGATGTGTGGATGATAGCCATACCGCTGTGGAATGTGCGGAAACTCAAGCTGCACTGGAAGAAGAAGCTCGGGGTGGCAGCCATGTTTCTGGTCGGATCATTGTCAGTTCTTGGTTTTTTTTTTTTTTTTTTTTTTTTTTTTTTTTTTATTATTATTATTATTATTATTCTGCCTCTCTTTCGCCCCCCTCCCTGCCCCTGGACCTGTATGACATTCTATCCTGGTACTAACTCGAAGCACCAACTCAAGCGTCACCATCGTATGCTGCGTCCGCCTTTTCTTTCTCCACAGCATCAGCACGTCGACAAACCCCACCCAGGTGCTGTTTGATATTATCCGGTGGTCAACCATTGAGGGCTTCACCAGCGCAGTCTGCGCCTGCATGCCCGCTCTGCGCCAGATGCTGGTTCGCGTCTTCCCCAAGGCTCTCGGCACCGGGACCAACAAGGCTGCCTCGTCGGCCTACATCCTCTACAAGGACAACAGCGCGCTCCGCTCGGCCCCGGTCATGAGGTCCGAGGTCCAGGTAGATGTCGACCAAGCCGCGGCCTCTGGTGTCAAGCCTGGTCACTATTGGTCCGTTAATTCTTCCGGCAAAGAGCGAACCAGAAGTGACGAAGAGGATCTTATCATTCAATACCCGGGCCAGATTGCCATGACGCCATTTGCACCGGAGCGAGTGGAGAGCTCCCATAGCGGACGGTAGTTTTTCCTTTCAAGTTCAAGTTGTTATACTAGTTCTGTTATTTAGTACGAGTCCTCCTCCTACAAATAGGACGGGATGGATCATGGCTGCAATGAAACATTATACCCACGTAGATACCATTACCGATACCAGACCGCGATATGTCTCAGCATCAAGAAAACCAAAAACCCTCGTGCCACTACTGTGATACAGTTAGGTATTTACGGAGTCTTGCTGCTAGATGGGCCCTAGCTGTTGGAAGTCGTAAGTGTGGACTTAGCGGGCGTATACCAGGCCACTAGTTGTGATGGAAATCTTGGTGGCTATTGGTCACCGGGCGAACTAGCAAGCTCTCCCACACTGAGATACCTAAGGTACCTAATCATCGAATTGCTACGTCTGCAGCTTGGCCTCTGACGTAAAGCGTACAAACAGAACAACAACAACACCAAGAACAGTCCACACAGAGAGTGGGACAAAGCGAAATTTATTGGCAGGGAAGAGACTCGGAACTCGGTTGAAGACGGAATACAGATGACCATAGGTACCTAGCGGATGATTATAATCTCTACAGCCGAAACTTCCAAGCACCAAATTGGTCCATATTTCTTCAGTTACGTCACTACAGGCGAGACATGAATCTGCCAATAGCTTCGCCAATCCCACCACTCGCCGCGTTCCTCCCAGGCCTTCTGATCGTCGCCCTGTCCGGGCTTCCACATGCCTAGACCGGTGCCCGGGTCGTACTGGGGGAACTGGGCCTGCTCGGCGAGCAAGCCCCTCATCTTGCCGTCGCCAAGAAAAGCGAGGAAATCCTCGGCACAGTGAACATACTGCCTCAATCCCTGATACACATCAATCTTGGCGCCCGTGGTGGCCCGCAAGAGACGCGGTTCGAGCAGCGGCGCGTCCGTGACCGAGGGGTGCGACGTGCCGAGCGACGTCATGAACCACGACGGGTTTCCCCTCTGGTTGTTCGCCTCGACGAGCTGTTTGACCGTGTCAAAGTGGGCGCGGCCGTAAAAGATGGAGGTGCGGCTGCTCCACGAGTTGCTGTGGACGACCAGGACGGGGACATTGATGTCCGCGTTCAGCGGCCCGCTCGACTTCCCCGGGTCCAGGATGATGGCGCCCTTGAACGGCCGCCTCTCGCTGGGCCCGCCGCGGAGAGCCTGCAGCGCGCCCGTGGCGCCGTAGCTGTGGCCCGCGACAATCATCTCGTCAGTGTTGAGGCGCCCGGCCCAGTTGGCCAGGTCAGAGCCTTCGCCGTGGGGGTTCTGCTCAAACACGTCGGCACCGCGCCCATCGTTGATCATCTTGAGCACGCGGACGGTCTCCTCAATCTCGGCCTCACGGAAGTTGAGCTGGGCTTTGTGGAAATCCTCGACCGACACCTCGCCGCCCTCGGCTGACTCTACTTCTGAGACGTCAAAGATCAGCCTCGTTTGGTCCGGCTCGCCCTGCCTTTTGATGACGGAGCCCGGTCCGGAGCCGTCGCGGTGCTCCACTAATGCGACGACGTAGCCCCTGGCAGCCAATTCGCCAGCGAAGTGCGAATAATCTCCTCCCGTCGACACCGTTCCATGCGAGAAGATGATGACGGGGTGACCGCTTAGGCTTTGCGTCAAGACCTGTTGCTCGGTTTCCTCCTTGTCCCACGATGTCGCAAATTTGGATTCGCGCGAAGCATGGTCCGACAATGGGACATCGACAGCAGCCGGAATCGTGACGCTCCCGGCCAGAGCACGAAGGGCGCCCGTAAAGAGCGCATCCGTAAACCTGTTGCTAATATGCGCGGCCTTGGCATAGCCCGCAGCTCTCAGCGAGAGGGGCGGAGAGATCCAGGGATGTCTTGCTGCCCGCTCCCGAGCGGTGTCGTTGTTTGCAGGGTAGTAGAGCGTGAACAGAACGGTTCGGAATTTGAACGCGACTTCGCCTGTGCCTTTGAACCGAGCTGAATCGATTATCCGCGCCGGCGAAACGGGGACTTCGATGTTGATAGCCCCTACGGCATATGGGCCGGTGTGCTGAGGCAACGGATGTACGAGAAGGTGCCGAGAGAAGAGGAGGCAGTAAAGGGCATAAGCGGTAGCTGCCAAAAATGCGACATGTCGCCATTTCCATCGCAGCCTGCGCAGGAGAGGCAGCTTGCGACGTACCACGGGAGGTTGAGGCCAGTTCCGTGCGTCGGGGATTTCAGGGGGCGGTTTTCGAGTCATTTCTGAACGAGTTAGAAAAACTTAGAATCTAAAGATGGGCATTGTAATCACAAAGGGCCATGGTGGCGGTCATCGGGGACTTCCAAGTTTATACTTGGAGTTTTGCCAACCTTTCCAAAGGGGACCAAAACCATGATGCAATGCAAGCTGCACTCCAATCGGCCAAGATCCATCATTGTGCCAGCCAAGACGGGATCGACAGGCTGGACCGCCACCCTGGGACAAAGCCGTCTCACATGTTACCTATCCGCCGACACATTCAGCCCCCGAACTGTAGCTGGGAGTGCAGATGGAGAGATATAATCTGCTTGAAAGGTAATTGGGGGAAGATGTTGACGTTTGTATCTGGCTGTTTGTTTTCAAGCTAAAAAAAATCTGGGGAAAACTTATCTCAGAACTCAGACCAGTGGGCGCTCCGCAATAGGCATAGCTTTCTTACAGAGGCCCACTTGTAACTT